TTTAATGGGGAACTCCACTGATTTTAGACATCAAAGTGTGTTTACAGGTCTTTGGGAGTACTATTTCATGTTATTTTATGTTAAAAAAAAATTGTACATAGAGTTTTGTGGGGCTGAAGTCAATAAGTTCGAAAATGAAAAAATTCTGAATGTATGTTGTTATGAAAGAAGTGAGGTTACCAGTCTCTCTGTGGCTCGCTCCTCATCTGTGCTTGAGGCCAGTGGGCCGAGGCTGTGTTAACCGATACTAGCAGAACACACACAAATCCATACTGAACTTTTGCCGCTTGAGTTGCATTGTGGGTAATGTAGGTGGCAGGTTTTGACAAGGAAGAAGAATGAGTGGTATATAAAAGATAATATCTCTGGTTCTGCTGCATCGATTTTGCTTGTAAGTTCGAGTGCAGTGCTAATAATTATTTTTAAGCTTTAACTTTTGGGTGTTAATATTAAGCACATTAAATTAATAAGATAGGAAATGTACCCCTTTTTAGACATAGTCCCCCATTTTTTTAGAGCAGTGGTTTCCAAATGTTTTTGGATCACAGCACTTCTTTGAAGAAAATTGTTTGTCATGGCAACCCGAGCCACCCAACCCCCTTTTATAACATGCATATGTACACAAATAATTAGCAGTTTTAACATCATATTAAATTATATCCATATTAAGATAAATAATAATGGTAAGTAATAATGGCCCTCAGAATAAAAGCCAACTGGTGCTTTGCAGATTTACAACTAAATATTTAACTTAAAATAAACAATGAATATAATTACATGTGATATGTTAAACATATGTCTTTAAAATTAAAATGAGCTTATATTTAAGATTGGGACGTGTGAGCTTGCTGTTGATGTGGTGAGAAAGAGCACAGCCTGCAGGTCTGACTCCACTGTCGGGCGGTTTCTTGTCTTCAGAAGATCACATATATATCATGTTGGTTAACACACGATACCAAAGTGAATGCCTTTATAGGACAATGATGCACAAATGTCTTCCACAAGCAGCTGAAACCTGTCTGAATAGTGTTGAGTCTGAATTTAGTTTTATTGTTGGGCTCATATTCAGTTGTGTCAGACTGTGTTGAGGGCTGAGCTATATCCGCATTTCTTTGAGCTCTGTTTACCCCGTCAAATCTTTCCATCGCTCGCTCTGATGGTCATTATTTTTCAAACTGCTGAGATCTTGAAAAACTCCAGAGCTGGAAAGCGAGTTGTGTTACTATGCCAACTGTCAACCATGAATTGTCATGTCAGTAGCTGCTGTATATCTGAATATTAAACTTTTTTAATACAGCAATTAAGGCTGCAGCACCCACTTTGGGAACCACTGATTTAGAGGACCGCAATGCTGTATACCTGGCGCTAAACTTAGATAATGTCCTAAAATAATGGCAGTCGATGTCTGCCAGCAGCAGACACCTTGTTCTTAGTAATGCAGCCATCGTCACTTACTGCATGTTTGTTTCACTTTGCTATTCAGCAAGTGAAACAAATACATGCACAGCTAAATTGAGGTTAGGTGACTGACTTGACGAGTCACTTCATGTCAAGGTTTTTCCTGCATAGAGACACTTTTGGCGTCCCCCAAAAGAGGTTTTAGTGAGCACTAAAGGAAAATCACCAGCACCAAAATGATCAGAATTGGAGAAAAAGCGTTTCAAATATTCTCCCAATGTGTTTTTATAGCCATTTATCAAACAACTGTTGAGCAAGCAGAACATAAACTTAAATACGATGTCTTGACTTCCAGCAGTCGCCTCTCCTCTCATCCACGCATGAACGCTCCCCTACAAAACTTGTGCTACTGGGAGAGATGACTTATATTTCTCCCTCAAAAATTAAACTACTGTTTTGTCCAACTGGAATTAATATTAGGCTACTAATGGTAAACTATAGTAGCCTATAGCCTACTATGATCTGAAATTATAATGAATATACTAACATTAGCACTAATCAAACCTTAACCACCATTTGTAAGCAAGTTATCCAAATCAAGTGTAACGTGTAAATATATTATTATACTAACATTATACTTTACTTTTATACCTCCCCCAGGTTGTGGATATATATTGTTTATCAAATGGTGAGAAATTACGAGAAAATACATATATTTCATTCATAAGGTGACTCATTGCTTTTACTGTGCGTGTACCGGCCATTCTTACAGTCGTGCAAAATCACCCCCCCAAAGGCCCATTCTGAGCCAGGAAAAACCCTGCGTGTTAATGTCTGCCCCCCAAAAACTTCTTATTAGCTTTATCTGTATGTTTGGGAACGTTGGGGGACTCGTAGTTAACATTTCACATTCAACCCAATGTGTTGGATTACAGAGCCAAAATAAGTTACTGTCCACTGATGTACTAAATATAAAAATATATACTAAATTTGTTTCTCTTTGTAACATTAAGGACAAATTGCAATGACTCTTGTGGTAGCAGCTTTGAGACAGTTGCAGGGTAGCTACCAGGCCAGCAGCAACATTTCATTAGAAATGATTCATACGATTTTAGTGTAGACGCCCCTTCATGCAAATACTTTGTTGCACACACAAATACACACGTTCCCAGGTATGCAGACTTGTTTCAGCAAGATTCAAGGAAACAAGCATACCTTGTAATTTTAATCCCACAATGTAATTTTTATTGCTATTTTATGATTCACTTTTATACATCCCTCTTTTCCTGTCTCTGTCCTTGGCAGTTTTTATGCTCAAGCTCTCTAGGGTTTTATGTCTTCTATTTTTTGTATGCGTTTCTCTCAGTTGTGCTTACACTCAGTGACTCCCACAGACCAGCTTGTGCCTTTTTCACAACATCAGCAATTCCTAAAGACTGAAAGCTTCTAACATGATGTCTTTCTTGTAGCCACTGCCTAAACCATCAGAGAAAAGACATTACAGTACACACAGCTGGTTTGAGGTCAAAATTATACAGCTGCTTTTCAGATGGTTTACCTTTTTACCACAGTCAGTATAACACCTTGTGGTGCCAGAGTATCCAGATGTGGTTCATCTGTTATGTCAGTAAACAGTATCGACTCTGTGTAAGACCGGTGTATGTGGCACATTGAGGGTTCTTCAGTATACTGGACAGATTTACCAGCACCAGTCAAGTGATTCAGCATTCGAAGAAGTATGCAGTATTCATAACTTTGAGTAGTTACATAAACCTGTAAAAATATAAATGTTATGTAAGCCTGGGGATTTATTGTTATTTATTGTATCTTAAGTGTACGTTTTTGCAAGTTAGGAAGAAAAACAGTGTTCGTGTTGTTTCATCTTGACCGCATGACACATGCACATGGCCTGCAGTTAGCCCATGGGCTTGGAAGTGTTTTTTAAGTTTCTGACCTGCTATCATTGCTTTCAGTGGCTTGCTTTGTCAGTGATTGTCAACGGCTTATACTGAATTTGCTCTGTTTAGTTATGAAATGATGTTGCAGATTAATTAATTTGTTGGAAAATGCATTCCACTTTGTGCCAAGCATGCAAAATGCCAAAAATATACATCTAGGCTAATTACATAGCAGTCTTATTGTTCCCTTTTTATTGACAAAGACAGTGACAAAGAACAAATAACTAACTCTCCCTCAGACAGTCAGGAAAGCAACAGCTCACACAAAGCTTTTAGCTTGATGGATTAAGAACTTGAATGTTTTTCTTTGCGCATAAGATATTGTCCACTCAAAAATCCATAGCTGACCTCTTCTCCTTCTTTTTCATGCAAAGCACAACACACACCACACCTGCTGCAAGGCCTTCATGTATATTAAGCTCTCAGATTAATGTGTAAAACACGTCTGCTAAAGTCAAATGTTATGTGTGTGCTGACTTATCTTTTCATAGAATTATTTCATTTAAGAGTGAAAGAAGAAATATGTTCAAAGCTTAGAGGTCATTAAAGGAACAACAGAGGCAGGGGATAAAGAGAATAGGAAGCCCCTTGCCGACTAAACGGACAATGAATTCAGTCATTATGCAGACAAATGCAAGGAGTTAATGTAGTGTACATTTTCCTTAAAAATAACTCCAAACGACTGCAGTTAAAACACTACGCTGATCAGCAAGTGTCAGTGTCTGGGGCACTCACATTGGCTGCCATTGCAAATTTGAAGATTTACCTGATTACTAAACCCTGGTTCTTTTTGTATGTACATAAAAGATTAAATGTCAGAATGTTCTTGCAACCATCAGCACACTTTTGCCTTTACCCCTGCAGCTGATACTTGGTGCAGGGGGTTGTGTCATTGTAACTCTAATTAATTAAATCTTTAAATTAGGTTGATTAATTACCAATCATTTGCTATTATACCTTTGCCATGGTCAGTGTCAGCTGTCAGTTGAGCTAAAAGATCCATGTGATGGGATTATATTTCTTTCATTTGTTGCAATTTTATTCCTCTTAGTCATTCCTGGTGTTTTTCCAGCCCCTCAGCCAGGGATAAGTGGATTTTTATTGTCCAGTCTAACTATGCTTACTATCTTATGCTCCTCTGCTCATCAAAGTTGTGTGTTGATGAGAACGGCCCACAAGTCTTGACTGCATCATGCAGTAATGTATGTGTGTGTTGGTTGTTGGAAAGCAGTGTAGGGGGAGTTTACAAGTCTCCTGTGGCATTAAGTTTATGATGGTTCCAGTCAGCGAGGGGTTGGCAAGACTGCACCAAAGAAAGAAATATGAGCTCTGTACAAAATGAGCCTTAGGTTCACACACACACGCGCACCTTGTGTATTCATGTTTGATCGAGGTTGTGAATAATAGATGTGTCTTTATTATTTGTCCCTCTGGTGTCCTGCAGTCCTCTCTCTCTCTCTCTCTCTCTCTCTCTCTCTCTCTCTCTCTCTCTCTCTCTCTCTCTCTCTCTCTCTCTCTCTCTCTCTCTCTCTCTCTCTCTCTCTCTCTCTCTCTCTCTCTCTCTCTCTCTCTCTCTCTCTCTTTTTTTCTTTCTTTCTTTTTTATATATATAAAAATCCTGTTTTATGTTTGTCTCTCTCTTAGGACGCTGCTGCTTCACTGAGGCCCTCGTTACTGGATGAAGAGAGAGCCACTGACTACCAGTATGGACGCGCTCCATCCTGTAATTTCCCACAATCCTTAGTTGTCTGGTAAGTAGCAACTGTAAAAGGAGCTTGGTATATTTTTAACATAAAATAGACTCTTGTAAACCCTCTATGCTTTTGGAAATTGTTGTTCTTCCTGTCATAACTGAAAATATAGGCCCGGTGATACTTTCTTTATTTACAACCATTGTTATTGGTGATGGGATGATATTCAGACATGGTAACAGTATGGTATTTATGTAACTGTAGAAGATGTTTTTACTTTTTAAAAAAAAACAGGTAAGCTTTGCTAGGATGTTAAGATATGCTAAGCTAACCCCTGTGAATATAACCAAAGTCCTTATAGGCAAGTCATGCCACTCGGCAGCCATCTTGGCAACACCTCCAGGCAGCTATTTCAGACTAACAAGACCAGGCTCCTATCCTATAATGAATTACTGGTCACCGGAACATAAAAACTACCTGACCAGAATCAGCAATAAAATCTGATAAAAATCACTGAAATAGTTTGACAACTTTGCCTCAAAATAAGGTTTAAAAAGAATTTTTCCCGACAAGTTATACTTGTACTGTGTATGTAGTGACGCATGCGCAGCAGACCCCTTACGTCAGTGGAACCACACGATTGGCTGAAATATGTTTTTCCGCCTCGGCTATTAAAAGAAGATGATTAGCCGCCACCTTTGGCGTTACGGGCTTTCCCTATGGAGTTGTATAGAGGATTCTTAAAGTGGCATGTCTCCTCTATAATAACGTCTCTGATATAACTCAAATTCACCTTCTGTGAAAGCTTCAAAGCAATTTAAGCAGGGTTTTACCTGCATATCTAAATGTAAGCCACATTGGAGCCTTTTTGTTCTTGTATCATATCCATGTTTCTTTGTGCTGTGGTCCCTTCACCTGTTCAGTCCCACTTGAGCTTCAGTGTGGTGAAAACTCCACCTTAGATTTTGATTGGCATAAAAGAAAACACTATCCCCTATACATCTAGGGGATCATGATCATGATCATGAGGTACAGTCGGTATGCATAACACAAAGAACAATTGTTCACCAAACAAACAGAAGTTTGATTCCTTCCTTCTCTGTATATGAGTCACATTGTCTCTTCTGTGTTTTGGATGATTTCATATGGTGTTGGGGGCCCTTGTCCATAGAAACCCGCTGTAGGTAGGTTCCTTATAGGTTAATGTGGTCTCTGAGGGCAACCCAAGAAGAACTCAGGATTCTTCGCATTCTTTTGTTGATCAGTCTTTTACTGTTTTTTTTTCCCTCTGTGGTGTTCAGATCTGCAGCTGAGTCTACTGAACCCTGAACTGTGACCAGCGCCAGTCTGTGACTGACCTCCTGTCAGGTATAACACACACACACATGCTTACGCACATGCTGTGTTTGTGTTGGAACACTGTTGGAATGAAAACCTTCATGCTCACAGCTCTTCATGGCTAGTAGTTTTTAAAGCCAGCAATCCACAGTAATATCTTTCAAGAATGTAAACGACAAGCCTTGGCAACAAATCCTACGAAAAGGCCAAAACCAAACCCATGTTAGTCCTTCTCTCAATACATTCTAGCTTCCCAGCCCTATCTGTGGTTTTCCTAAAAGAGCTGGGCATTGTAGTTTTTAGCAAACGTTACACAAACAGGATTAAATAGTGTATTTGTTTGGTACTATTTTCAGCTTTGTATTTGGTGTGCTAGCAGGTATTTACAGCACCAGAACTGTGTGTGTGTGTGTGTGTGTGAGAGAGAGAGAGTATTCATACAAACTGCTAATCTACTAGATACCATAAATCAGAATCCGCTTTATTGCCAGGTATGTGTACACATACGAGGAATTCGACTCAGGATTGTACATTGCTCACGATGTGCTTACTTGTACAAAAATACCATAACATAATAATAAAATAATAATAAAATAAAATCAGACACAAACTACAGTATAGACAACACTAACATATACACTATGAACAAAACAATATAGACATATTGACAAATAGAGCAGTGATCAGAGTGCAAATGATGCAAGAGTAAACTATTATTCTCATTATGTAAATGTTGAAGGTGGATATGATATACAGGTACACATACATGTACACAGTGTGATGGAGCATAGTGCAAAGGATGCTGGAAAAAATAAATAAGACCTATGACCTGAGGTAGGTGTATTGGTATACACTCACCTAAAGGATTATTAGGAACACCATACTAATACTGTGTTTGACCCCCTTTCGCCTTCAGAACTGCCTTAATTCTACGTGGCATTGATTCAACAAGGTGCTGAAAGCATTCTTTAGAAATGTTGGCCCATATTGATAGGATAGCATCTTGCAGTTGATGGAGATTCGTGGGATGCACATCCAGGGCACGAAGCTCCCGTTCCACCACATCCCAAAGATGCTCTGTTGGGTTGAGATCTGGTGACTGTGGGGGCCATTTTAGTACAGTGAACTCATTGTCATGTTCAAGAAACCAATTTGAAATGATTCGAGCTTTGTGACATGGTGCATTATCCTGCTGGAAGTAGCCATCAGGGGATGGGTACATGGTGGCCATAACAATGCTCAGGTAGGCCGCAGCATTTAAACGATGCCCAATTGGCACTAAGGGGCCTAAAGTGTGCCAAGAAAACATCCCCCACACCATTACACCACCACCACCAGCCTGCACAGTGGTAACAAGGCATGATGGATCCATGTTCTCATTCTGTTTACGCCAAATTCTGACTCTACCATCTGAATGTCTCAACAGAAATCGAGACTCATCAGACCAGGCAACATTTTTCCAGTCTTCAACTGTCCAATTTTGGTGAGAAATTGTAGCCTCTTTTTCCTATTTGTAGTGGAGATGAGTGGTACCCGGTGGGGTCTTCTGCTGTTGTAGCCCATCCGCCTCAAGGTTGTGCGTGTTGTGGCTTCACAAATGCTTTGCTGCATACCTCGGTTATAACAAGTGGTTATTTCAGTCAAAGTTGTTCTTCTATCAGTTTGAATCAGTCGGCCCATTCTCCTCTGACCTCTAGCATCAACAAGGCATTTTCGCCCACAGGACTGCCGCATACTGGATGTTTTCCTTTGTCATTTTGTCATCCTTTTCACACCATTCTTTGTAAACCCTAGAAATGGTTGTGCGTAAAAATCCCAGTAACTGAGCAGATTGTGACCGGCCCGTCTTTCACCAACAACCAACAACCATGCCACGCTCAAAATTAAAAAAAACTTTCTTTCCCATTCTGACATTCAGTTTGGAGTTCAGGAGCTTGTCTTGACCAGGACCACACCCCTAAATGCATTGAAGCAACTGCCATGTGATTGGTTGATTAGATAATTGCATTAATGAGAAATTGAACAGGTGTTCCTAATAATCCTTTAGGTGAGTGTACAGTATATACAATATGACATAGTATGAACAGCACTGAAATAGAGAATGGTGAATAAATAAATAATAAGTAGAAACCAGTAAACAGGTGCTGATTAGAGACAGAGTTACTGGGTTTTTGCACAGGAATTGTTCAAATCAGCTGTTTATCAGCGTGATGGCTTGTGGGAAGAAACTGCTTCTGTGTCTGTTGGTTTTGGCGTACAGTGCTCTGTAGCGCCTACAAGAGGGGAGAAGCAGATTGTGTCCGGGGTGAGATGGATCTGCAGTGATGTTTCCTGCCCGTTTCCTGACTCTGGAAATGTATAAGTCCTGAATGGAGGGCAGGTTGGATGATCTTTTCTACAGTCCTGACTGTCCGTTGTAGTCTGTCCCTGTCCTTTTTGGTGGCAGATCCAAACCAGACAGTGATCGAGGCGCAGAGAACAGACTGGATGATGGCTGTGTAGAACTGGATCAGCAGCTCCTTAGGCAGGTTGAGCTTCCTGAGCTGGCGCAGGAAGTACATCCTCTGCTGGGCCTTCTTGATAATGGTGTCAGTGTTGGGCTCCCACTTCAGGTCCTGTGATATAGTGAAACCCAGAAACCTGAAGGATTCCACAGCAGACACAGGGCTGTTGAGTATGGTGATGGGGGGCAGAGTGGGGGGGCTCCTCCTGAAGTCCACGGTCATCTCCACAGTTTTGAGCGTGTTAAGCTCCAGGTTGTTCTGACCGCACCAGAGAGCCAGCTGATCAACCTCCCATCTGTAGGCCGACTCATCACCGTCCCGGATGAGGCCGATGACCGTTGTGTTGTCAGCGAACTTCAAGAGTTTGACAGATGGGTCTCCTGAGGTGCAGTCGTTGGTGTAGAGGGAGAAAAGCAGTGGGGAGAGCACACACCCCTGGGGGGCGCCAGTGCTGATAGTCCGGGTGCTGGATGTGATGTTCCCCAGCCTCACCTGACAGTCAGGAAGTCTGTGATCCACTGACAGGTGGAGGCTGGCACAGTGAGCTGGGTGAGTTTGGTGCTGAGGATGTCCGGGATGATGGTGTTGAACGCCAAGCCGAAGTCCACGAACAGGATCCTTGCGTAAATAAATAAATAGAATAAAAGAAGGCTTTAAGATATGTCTCTCTACATATGTAGAGTCAGAAAAAACAAGTCTCTTCCTGCCCAGAGGAGAGTCATTGTATATTTTAATTGCAGTGGGCATTAATGACTTCTTGTAGCGGAGCTGAAACAGTCTCAGACTGAGACTTTGTTGTCCAAGTAGTTTGTGCAGGTGATGTGAAGTGTTATCCATAATTTTGAGCAGTTTGTGCAACCTAACAATGGCTGTGTAAGTGACTCAAGTAAACTAGATTTATTTAACTCAAAATAAACTAGATTTTAATTACAGCATATCTCATTTATATGTTTTCATTAAATTTTAGCTGTGGCGCTCTGTGACATGGAGGAAAACTATATAATACTGTTTCACGCTACACAGACAATACTTGTTAGTAGGATAAATTCATTGTTGTTCTTGTTTTGGGGAATTGGAGACAATAAGAAAACCACAGAATATCACCAGACCTTTAATGATGTTGTAATGCATTCACTAGACCCGAGGTGACCTCAGTTTAAAGCACTGGTATGATTAATTACTTTTCTTTGATAGTGCAAACAAAACCAAAGGAAATACAACCCCAGGCTGTATCATTATTTGATCTGTTCTGTAATTTTCCTCATGCAACCATGAGTATTTGCATACTCATGTCAGTATGTAGTCCAGTTTAGACCAGTCTTCTGCATTACAACGTAAGAATAACTGTGATAATGCAAACAGCAGTAGTAAGGTAGCCATCTTTATCTAAGCTAATTATGCATATTACATGTTAATGTGTGTGTGTGGATTTCAATTCCTTCACCTCCTGATCCCCCTCTCTTCCTTTTCCAGGTGAACTGTCTTGTGCCACGATGATGTCAGTCGATGTGACCAATCATAATGGCCCCACTGCCACGCCTCCCAACTCACTCAGCCTACGCTCCTCACACAACCAGCTTCTCAGCAGCGATGTCATCAAACAGGGCTCTGCCACGCCTCCCAAGTGTCGCAAAAAGTATGCACTTACCAGTATCCAGGCTGCCATGGGTCTCGGAGAAGCTCTGCCGCCTTCTTCATCACCATCTTCATCCCCATCACAGTCTTCAACCCCCAACAATCCTAAACTAGCCAAGAACGGAGTCAACCAGCTCCGTAAAGCTGGTCAGGATCACAACAAAAACACCACCGGCTCTGGCCCGACGGACCTGGAGTGTAATTCAGAAACTACAGCAGATGACTACAGTGTCAACACAGCTGAGGAACATGACAGTCACACTCTCACCAATAATGACAGAGAGGAAGATGTTATTAAGCTGGATGTTGAACTGCACCCAGACTCTAACACTGATGCAGAGCCCGAGCAGAAAACCGAATCAGAGATAGACTTTAGCATTAACACGACTGTGGAGCTCAAACTGAACGGCAACACAACCGATGTGGGCTTTGATTTGAACAATGAGGCAGAGGAGAGTGACGACATCAGTATTCTTTCTGAGAAGGAAATTATGTCAAAGATGAAGCTTGAGGAAGATGGAGATGAGGTGGTAGTGGAGGAGCAGGAAGACGAGGAGAAGAAGCCTTTACTGATGATACAAAGTGAGTCTCCCGTGAAGAACCGTAAAGTTTCCTCAGACCTGGAGCTCATCTCTGACCTCCACGCCAACTTCAAGCTCCTCAAATCAGGGAAGGACTCTCCAGTGCCTCCTCCACCCTCTCCACCCAGGCAAGCCAGCCCAGAGGACATGCCGTTGCTCTCTGTGGCCTCCTGCTCCTCCTCTTCCTCCTCCTCTCCAGAGACGAAGAAGGACAGAAGGACTGGCGCGAAGACAGACTGTGCTTTGAACCGCATCCAGAATCTGAACCCCAGTGACGAAGAGTTGAGTTGGACAACACTGTCCCAGGAGAGCAACTCCCCAGAGGAAACAGGTACACACATTAACACACACACAAGAAAAGTTTATTACTTTGGCATAGTTGACATGTGTGTCAGCTACGCTAGAGTGTTTTGTTTTTTCTCCTGCGTGCTATGTAGTGGTTTCACCGCCCTCCCTCCTGATGACATGTTTCCATTTATGGTGACAGTGTATGTGTGCCCAGACACTTAGACATTGCTGGAGCAGAATAACAAACACTCCAGTCTCCAGTAAATCTCCCAGAATGCCTCTGGGACCGGAAGTGCCCTTGTAACCTCATGGGTGGTTGGTTAGCAAGCCAGATCAGCATCGTCCTGTTTAAAGCTGTGTTCTGTGTGTGTGTGTGTGTGTGTGTGTGTGTGAACAGGGCTTGCAGGCTAATCATGGGTTAATATAAAATCTGTAACTGCCATTATCTCTCTCTTTCTCTGCGTCTTTGATGTTTCCTCTAGAGCTAAGAGAGAGGAGGTGCTTTAGCTCCCTATAATCTTCTGCACTGTGCCTTCCTACTCCTAGTTTTCATCATTCTTTTTCTGAGAATATGAACATTTGTGCTCTGCAGATATTAAATGCGGGAAGCAGTTTGGACATACACATATACACATGGACTCCCAGTATTACAGCTGAGCCTTTTCATAGCTGTGTGTGCCATCAGAAGAGCTTCAGTTTTTATCCCACTTCGACCCATTGGTGCAACATGCAGACTGAGAATCTTAGTTGTTCAGTTTGTTCAGGGTTACATGTTAAAAGTCAGTTTGTATATGTTTCCCAGCCCATCTTGATGAGCATGCAATATGTGTAGACAGTCAGCAAATGACCCCTATACCTAGTTGTATAGATGTAAAATAGGGCTGAAAACATGTTGTTTTCTTGTTTTCATTATGAAATGAAGGTGGAGTAAGCAATTCTTATGCAAAATATGCCTTTTTGTCAATTTCTCCTCGCTGCAAAGATCCAATGTGGGTACTCAGGCTCTGTAAATTGGAAACAAACAATGTGGCCCACACCGAGCCACACAGCGCTATTCCAGCCATGATTTCTGTGTCAGGTAACGCTAAATGACATGCTGTTGTTGTGATGTTAGCTATAGTAGCAGGAGAGTTGTAAATATCACCATCTGCAGCTGGTGTGCTGGATCTGGGGCCGTCTCGTCCTCTCTGCATGTAAGCATCATGTTAGCTCTGCAGCAGCAACTGTAACAACAGTATGCTAACCCAAAACTGAGCTAACATTAATTACATTATTTGTTCCATATCATGATTTTTGTCATGATGTTCTCCAGAATCGCTTATTGCACCTTTTAAACTGCAGATTATTTCCTCGATGAAGTAATTAATCTATAAAATGTCATTAACAAAGACAAAAAAATTGCAATCACATCTTCCTAAAGCCCAAGATGAGAGAATGTTATAAATAGTTAATTGATCTCCAAAATAGCTGTTGATTAGCTGTCAGCTTTATCTTTTTATCAAATAATTGTTTCAGCATTATTGTACAGTAATTAGGAATTCTTTTGAGTCATCACCATTGTTGTGGGTGTCTACTTTCTTAAAGTTGCTTGTTGCCTAACTCTGCAAAAGGCCTGTTAAAGTCATTGGATTTCTTTGTCAGCATTATGTAAAGACCTGGATGTTTGGTTTAATTGGGCCCTTAAAACTTGTGCTTTGTTGTAAGACATATGAAACACATCCATCTCCTCTACAGCAACAGCCCCCGACCTTTGACACAAGCTCAGCTGTAAACATCCTCTCCAGTCTGTGAGAGCTGCAGTGCTCTGGGCTGTTCAGCCTCGCTGCTGCTTTTTTTCTAGCTCTCCCAGAATGCTTCTCTTCTAGCTCTCTTATGACTCATAGCCCCTTTCGAATTGAAGGCTCTGAGCATCTGTGCATTTCATTTCTCTACAAGTATGATTACCAACGGCTTGTCCTCCTGAACATTGGTGTGTTACACTGTTGCTGCTGCTTAGAATTTTCTCTCCAGTTATTCTTTTGTCCTGATTTCCTCTTGCATGTATTTGTCTAAAATGTCATTCCAAAGTGACAATTCTTTCATGGGACGGCATATGTTTTGTGTAGATCAATGTGTGTGTATTGATGAGTGCTGGAAGAGGGACAAAAAGTAGACATTAACAGTACTATAGTCTCTAGGTAAGACGTATTGTCCTCCGAGGGTTCACTGAAGAGTTGATAATTAGCATGATGGGCATCATTCATGTTGAATTAATCGATATCTTGCACATAGTCGTCCGTAGTGCTGTCTCTCTGTCTGTCTGTCTGTCTCTCTCTCTGTCTCTCTCTCATATTGACAAAGCCGTGTTGTTTTCCCAGGTGTGTGTCAGATTCCTCGGTGGGTGTTGCGGGTTGGAGGGCCGATATGACACTGCTTTCACACAGAGGAGCCAAAACACACACACATGCACACGCGTTGAATTGAGGAAGGTCATTTAAAGAGGTCGCATTCTCACACAGCAACATCTATTGTAACACTCGCAAGGAAACATGAGTTGAATGTGGATGAGTGCAGTATAGCAACATATGTTGTCCAGTTTTATATTTTGGTATCACATGTTAAGCTGCTTTTTCTCTCTTTCTCTCTGTCACCCACTTACTCAATGATCTTTTGAGATCCTGCTTATGGCTAGTTTTCTTTTTCCCTTCATCAGCCTAAATGGTTGTGTTCCAGTTGTACTGGGAAGTCCAACTGGAACACCCCCTTAAGTTGGATTTCCTGCATGGTCCAAGATGGCTGCTCCGTGTATCAACAGTTAGTGAAAGCTGTAGTTTATACTGTCTCATAAATTTTTGTACACAAAGTACTGTCCAACTGCTGTCTGTGGACATGTTGCTACTGTGTTTAGAATGCGTAAATACCGCGAAATGCGTTTTTATCAATCGATGTAGGTAACAACAGCTAACATAGCTAGTTGTACACAAAGGCTGGCCGCGAAAGGTTTTCCGACTTGTAACTGGAACGCGCTCAGATCGGGCGTAATGTCCTTCCCAGCTCCAACTTCCGAGATAAATGGAACGCAGCATTATTGTAAATCTCCCTCCCTCTCTCCTCCTCCTCCTCCTCCTCCTCCTCCTCCTCACACCTCCACTGGATATGATACTGAATGAAAGATGAGCTGGGGGTTGCCAGGACAACCAAGAGAGGCTTAAGAGAAGGTGGAAAAAGGAGGGAGAAAGTGAAACATAGACATTTGATGAGGTTGAGGGTGCCAGAGTTTGAGTTTCTTTCCATGTGCCCGTGTGTGTGTGTGTGTGTCTGTGTCTGTGTGTGTTTGTTTAAGGACAGGAAAGGGAGGGCAGGCTTATCTAAGCTGTTGATGTTGTCGATGCTCCAGATAGGGGAAGGAGAGACAACAACAGCAAATGTAGCTCAGCTGCAGGGGAATCACAACCTCCATCTCTCACTCTCTCTCTAACGTTTCCTCTCTTTCGCTCTGTCTCTCTCTCTCTGTCTCTCTGTTTTCTCGCTTACACTCCCCCCTCATTCACTCTTTTCTCCCCTTTTTCTGTTCCTCTGTTTTCACATCATGTTCTCCCTGCCTCTCTGCCTCAGTGTGTCTCCATGTCCCCCCCTCTCTCTCTTTCTCTCTCTCCTCTTTCTCTTTCTCCTCACCCCCTCTCTTGCAGTGTCCCCCCTCCTCCCTCTCTCTCTCTCTCTCTCTTTCTCTCTCTCTCTCTCTCTCTCTCTCTCTCTTTCTCTCTCTCTCTGTCTGGGGTTCTCTCTGTGGTTACAGCACTGGGTTTTGCTGTATGAGAGGCAGCTAGCTAACTATGATGCTGGGCAAAGACTACATGCTGGCCATTGTCATTGTCAATTATGAGGGTAGGTGCATCTGTCGGAGTCGGCTGGGAACTACACTATGTGGTTAGAGCTTGAACGCGGTGTGTGTGTGTCTGTCTGTGTGTGTGTGCGCAAGCATGGTTATATGTGCGTGTCTCTTCCAACACAGGGATGAAGTTTGTCTCTGTAATGGTATCATTCTCTAAGTATCTGCTATAGGAATCTATGGTTTTGTGAATGAATGTGTCGGTCTGTTTATGGTGGTATGTATGTATTTATGGTGTCGTTTGCCATAGAGAACATGTGTATGTATTTTGCTCCAGAAGCTGCTCTCCCCTCCCCCTCGGCTTAACTCTGCTCTAGCAAGCTGCATGCTAACCGAGGCTATCAAGGGCTAAGTGCTATGTTGCTCCTCTGTGGCATTTCCATGAGCTGCAGCGACAGCTAGCCCCAATATTAGCATGCTTAAGCTTATTCTTGCAACCAGTTCCACACTTGCCACAGTGCTTGCAGTGGGTGACGCTTCTCTCTCTCTCTCTCTCTCTCTCTCTCTCTCTCTCTCTCTCTCTCTCTCTCTCTCTCTCTCTCTCTCTCTCTCTCTCTCTCTCTCTCTCTCTCTCTCTCTCTCTCTCTCTCTCTCTCTCTCTCTCTCTCTCTCTCTCTCTCTCTCTCTCTCTCTCTCTCTCTCTCTCTCGTAAATGCTTTAATCTACATCCAGTAGTCTGTTCATCTCATACCCCCCTATAGCAGACACTCGTGTTCTCTCTGTTGTAATTTTCTTGGCTCTGACCTATTTTCTTTGCTCATAAAAGACTGCAACTCCCAGAAGACACTGCTTCCTTGCTCAAAAGCACAGACTTATGTCTCAAGGGATGTCCGCTTGTGCCAAGAACACATGTGTGCATTTTGTTTAGTGAGTGATTTCTGTTCCTTTTAATAGATTAATAAAATAAGTCTTGACAACTTACCTCTGCATGTCTTTGTGTGCGTCTGACTAAATTCCATCTCCATCTGGACCGACCCAGTCGTCATGATGACATATGGCCTGCTTTCGTGGCGACAGGCCCACGGGCTGTGTTTCATCAGCATCGTCAGCAGTTCGACAACTCTTTGTCACTCACACACACACACACACACACACACACACACACACACACACACACACACACACACACACACACAAATTCGCGCAAATACACCCAGCACCCGCTGACCAGTCCCTCAGAGCTTACATCACCTTTATGAGTTGCTACACCACCTAGCAGTTTCAGATCATCTTTACTACCTCTGCCACTACATCATATTCACACACACAAAGATGCCTTCAATAGGTGTGCGCATGTGTTTGTGTGCTTCAGCTGGCTTGACTGCTTGAAACTGCAAACTTCAGATGAGATGGCATTTAGTACAAGAGTGAGAAAAGAAACCATTTCCATCTCCACATGATTCTGTGTGTCTGTTTGTGTTTTCAAGGTAGCTGCTGTATTTCCTCTACATGTACCACTGTCAAATAAATGATAGTTAACAGTAATCTGCTCTATATGCTGCTGCTGTGTTCTGTTAGGAAAGGGAAATTAAAATGTGAATCCATACGTAATGAGCCAGTAGGTCTAAATTGGTACATAAAATCAGGGCCAAACATATCACCCACGCTGCTGAAATTTAAGCTTCTCTTTGCCAAACTGAGTCACGCAGTTTAAATTCAACACGAATGCCTTCACTGCCAATGTGTAATTAATTGTGTAATGTACAGAAACCATAAGAACGCAGGAAACAGAAGAGTCTAATTCATAAGTGAGGTACATATTGATCTTGAAACAGAAATGGTACAAATGATGTGGTCCCATATTTTTGCCTGGCTCGGGTCGTTGCCTCCTGAAATAATCTCCATGTATAATGTTTTGATTTCAGTGTTAGTGGTCATCCAGAGAAGTCTCATTCAGCATAGAAAGCATTCTTTGTTTTTGTGACAGGGATGGGGTTTTTTTGTGCTCATGTAAGCATATGTGCCATCAAATCCACCATTAATATGTGAGGCTTGTGGCATCGTTACAGACAGCTGGTAATCCTTCATTTCTATATTATAACATTGCAACATAACATGCTTAACTTCTGATTTATGATCTGATTAAAAACAGTAAATTAAAGAACCCATAATGGATCATACACCCATGGAAATGAGAGAGCACATTTGTTTGATACGGGATCAGTGAATATAATAAGCTAATGCAATTATTATGGCCAGAGAATAATAAGTCCTCATTTGTGTCATGTTGAATAAAACCTTCTGTTCTGGGCTTGGTCATCAGGACTGCATCTCTTTAACTGTTCTAAATGTGAGAGAAATGCTTGTGCCTGTGTGTGTTTTTGTGTACATTTGGGAGCTGTTATTTGCCTGTGTGATATGTTGTATTTTAAATTGTATAACTTACAAGGCATAGGCAACAATAGTGCTTTATAAGTTACTCAGTTGTTGTCTGTGGAAAGACACAGCTGTTAAATGACAGCTGCTGCAGATGCTGGTAATCCCAGTCAGCTGTTGATATCGTTCAGTACATGAGTGTGGGAGGATTAACTTCCCTTTCCACAGAGGCACAGAGATGTCTTTCCACAGATTTGATCATATGGGAGCACAATAACTAGTCTACATTTGTGTGCAGCCACAGAGGTGCGTTGATATATGCCTTTATAATGAACATAAGAGGTCTGTCAGTTAAGAAATGTACACTTTCTTCCCTTATAGATATCAATAAACAATCCATGTGTGTGTGTGTGTGTGTGTGTGTTATTCCACCAGATATCTGGAGTGAGCAGTCATTCCAGACAGACCCTGACCTGCCTCCAGGATGGAAGAAGATCACAGATATGGCTGGTATCTACTACTGGCACATTCCTACAGGCACCACCCAGTGGGAGAGGCCTGCCACCCGACCAGCACCGCCTGGACAGACAGAGTCCCAGGTCCTGGGTGACCACACAGCCTCCACACCACGTAAACACTCTCTGGGCTCACTCAGCCCCTCACCTACTCCTGACCATGAGGTGAGAGACAGAACAACAAACTGACACACACACACCCCTTAAGTCTCACTTTTTGTTTTTGCTGTACAGTTTGTTAGTGTTTCTGGCCGTGGTCAGGCTCAAATTGTGATTGTGGAGTACAGTCTGAAGACAAACCATCCACAGTGCAAAGAGATGATGAGGAACAATGGGAAATATAATAAAGTCAAACTTCGATTAAAGCAAACATGCTGTACAATATTGTCTTATGACTGCAGTGCAATTTGGTTGAAAATGAAAATCCTAGATTTTGTCTAGATAATGTCTTTGTAACTCTTTACATAAAATCTGTTTTTTATGACCAGGTGCCCACTCAATGTGTTACACCTTCAGAAGACATTTCCCTACTTTGGGACCAAACTATGTACCAGATGATGATAATAATGCAAATTTAAAAGCATGTATTAGTCTTAACAAGTGAACTTAGCCATTTCCTTAATCCCTGAATAGCCCTAATATATGTGAAGAATCAACAGTATGCACCAATGAGGATGTATTAAAGAAGTTTCTCAAGAGAGTGTGTGTGTGTGTGTGTGTGTGTGTGTGTGTGTATAGTCGTGCCAGGCAGAGATCTTCTTCAGGGCGTCAACTCGTTCAGGCAGCACCACCTCCGACAGCTCAGTGGAGCCTCTCTCTACTCTTGAGCCCGCCATCACCACATGTGGATTTGTCAACAGCTGCTACTTTGTAAAAACCTACTTTTTCCTGTTTCATTATACTTACTGTCTGTGGTATTCTGTACATTTAAAAAAAATATATATATAATTAACTTTAGATTGGACATTGTATTTGACGGATTATGTATTGGTTTTTGTGTGTTTCTGATTGAGATCAGTGCAAAATTGGCAAAAATATGCAACAAGACAGCCGGTCAAAGAGAGTGAGACTGAGAACGGGCCCTCAATAATCCAGTCTAGCACCAGAATACAGGAGTACAAGGACACTGAGTAGGACTACCAAACAATCAGTCAGTCAATCATGCAGAATGATGGAGGGAAACGGAGAGAAGAAAGGAGACAATAAAGAGGGAGCCTGGTGTAGATAAAATATTGATCCAGTGAGAATGGACTGATGTTGACAGATAGATGTGCCAGAATCTCACTCTGGCACATCTATCTGGAGCGACTGACCTGCACACTACTCGAGTATTAGCCGGTGATGCAAAAGCCCAAAATGGCAGATAGACAAACATGGTGGGGTAACTCTTGATTTCTCACTCTGGAAATTTTAGTCATTTTGGAAAACTTCATCTCTCTGTGTCTCCTTCTCTTTCTCTCCTTAGCCTCGTTCCACATCTCTGCAGGGGATGCCTGATCAAGATCATCATGAAGATGAGGACAAGGTAGGATACTACTACCCATGTTCTGTTCCTTTCCTCACCCACCTCTCTTCTTTTTCTCTTTTGGCTCTATAGCCTTAAGTTGTGTACAGTATCTTTCTTTCTGAATGTAAGTGTGTGTGTGTGTGTGTGTGTTATGTGACACAGATGGATAAAAAGTGTACCTACAGCATCTGTATGTGCGTGTATTACTGTATATTCTGTCTGCTCATATCACAAACGATGCAGTCAGTAACTGTTTGGCTCTGTATTCCAGCGCATTTGATTAATAAAACTATGGCCACGAGGTTCAAGAGGTTCCCTGTGCACACAGGAGACAAGCTCAATAAAAGACTTGTCTATTCTAGTATGCTTTTCTTATTGAGTTGTTAGTGTTTATTTGTCTTTACTGGTACCTCTTTTTTCTTGGTTATAGTGGTACTCATGTGGCACACAATTGGATTGGTAATTGAATTTTGTTGTCTGTTGCTGTTGTAAAGATGGAAATCAACAGAAAAAGTGTCACTGTCCAAATAAACACTGACTGTATTGTATGCCTGTATTGTTCATATTCTACTAATCAAGAATCAGTCGATTCTCAGTAGGGAGGTGAATGTTCAATAGGAGCAAGAAACATTTGAAAGTCTTGACTGACAGCTTTTCATATAAGAAATGTTTTGCTACGTCGCTCCTTATTGCAACAGGCACTCGGTGTGGAGTGAGTGAGCTAGTTAGCTAACAGCCTTATTCTGTCTTTCTTCCCTTGCTCCCCACTGTGTGTATGTGTTTTAATGCTGTATATAGAAACAGGTGTGGAGTGATTTTGGCGGAAAAATTGATAGTGAAGTGTGGAAGGCAAGTATAATCCAACGCCAGTGAGTCTTGTTCTTGGTCTATCCTCACCAACTCTTGTGTTCATTTTATGCATTATTTGCTAGAAATTCACTGCCTGGGCAAAAGCATGTGTGGCTGATGCTTCAACATACATGTAACTGCAGCAACCACAGCATTTAGACATGCCTGATATGTGAAAAATCTGTTTTTTGGCTGCAGCAACACAACAGGTTGTTTCTTTCTTTACAGGATGTGGCTAAAATATCCTCATCTTCCCATCGTGCTGATAACTTCTCCTACAGATCTGTTTGCACACACGAGTGTGTGTTCATACTACATGTTATCTCTCTCCTTGATGCAGCATGCCCCATTACACATAACACACCAACGGCATTTCTCTATCCAGCAAGACCATTCCGCCCACACTTGGATGCATGCTGGCATATACTGTGTGGGGTCAAAACATTTACATTAGCTTTCTGCCAGGTTTGTGTCCTATTAGCCCTTCTCTCACATGCCCTGTAACCTGTGAATGTTACGGCAGTCATCCCCCAGGAAAAGCATGTTATTATTTTGGGATGTACTGTATTGGTCTTACACAGAGTAAGCAATTAAATCATAAAAAAAGACTCCGGAGTTTGACAGGACGTTCCAATATCGGAAAATTAATGGCAAATGGAACCGCACCCACAAGCAATGTTGTCAGAAAACTATACCTTAAAGGCAAACAGTTAGTGCATTGACGCTGTTATTAGAAAAATGTGAATTTGATATCCTCTTGCATTAATAAAAGGTTATCAGAATATTTTTGGATCACAAATATAAAGTACCTAAAAATAAAACCTAGTATTTGAGACAACTAGGCTGGAATTGATATGTCCTGTGGGATCATAGAGTTTTTGTTCATACAGGAGACCTGTGAAACCCATTTTTACCAGACAATATTACAGGTTACATGTGTGACAGGGGCTTTAAGGTGGCTGCCTTTTGGCCAAAGATGTGTGCTTTATTTTGGTGTCATTTTGCACACTCTGATGATGTCACCTTTGTGCAACAGGACCTGCAGGCAGCCACAGTGAACCCTGACCCCAGTCTGAAGGAGTTTGAGGGTGCTACGCTTCGCTACGCATCACTCAAACTGAGGTGAAATACCTGTACAGACACACACACACACACACACACACACACACACACACACACACACACACACACACACACACCACACAAGCACACACAAGCACACAAAAATCTAACTAGCTCTGTGCATGAATCTCTGCAAGCCACCCAAGTTGCTGTTAGTAGTCAAACATATTTTGCTTCTTCCTTCTTTGTCTTGCTATTCAACTACGTATCTAGTTTTGTCTAGTTAGTTTCTCTAATCTTGTGTTTAATCAGTGTTAGACTTAAATCAGGTCAGAACAAGCAGGAAGTTAGCTATTCCATTCAGGAAATGCCTCCATGTTCTCTATTAGTGTAATGACTGCCTGGAGCCTTCACACGCTGTATGGGAACCTTGTTAGTAAAACAGCTAATGGTTACAATGGTAATAATGGCACACTGCTAATCATATAACTACATCCTGCATTTTTTTTTTTCCAGAAACCGTCCAGCAGTGGAAGAAACAGAGTCCAGCGGTAGTAACAGTGACCCAGAAGCAAAGGTCAGGAGCCTTTTCCTAAACTTGACTTCAGGTCAAAGCCTGAATGATGCACGTCTATCTTCATAATCTGTCGTAGACACGAGACAGATTGTCTTTATTCACTTTGTTCTGCAGCTATTGCAATGTATCTGTTTAGAAAAGATGCCTTTTTAAATTTCTAAAGGGTTTAAAAGTTAATTTTAGAATTTGTTTTATGTGTCAAAAAAGCAGCCTTTTACATGGTGACATCTTTGTGTTGCCTTTATGTAAACTTTAAGAGGCTGACATTTTATCATTTGTAGAATCTAAATTTACTTACTCCAGACTTATTTATGTATTATATAATCCTTAAACACTTAAAAACAATCTCTTAGAATATAAGAGATTGATGTTCTGTGTATGTTTTATTCTGTTTATCCTCCTTTGCCTGTTTGTTTACTGGTGGTGTTTATGTTTGGCTGTCTGTGCTCTGGGCTCAGTGAAGAGAGATCTAAGCAATACTGCCTCCAAGTGGTGAGACCGAGAAGTACAGTTCAGTGCTGCACATTGGTGCATTACATTAATTACCCAGGCCTCATAAGCTCAGATTCAAATGAGACACTTAAAGTTCTTAATGAAGGCGTTAAGCTCAGGAAAACCTGTTACTCAGTAGAATGCTTGTCCGGTTGATACTGTTGTTGTTGTTGTTGTTGTTGTGAGACAGCAAATGTCAGCGAAAAGGTATAAATGAATTTAGTATCCCACTAATTAAATCGAAGAATGGATGAATTATTTATCTGATCTGATACATAGTCATTGCATTCTGTCACAAACTGCAGCAGATTGCAGGAAAGCTAAAATACATACCAAGGTGTGTGTGTGGCTTTCCATGGTTGGCTGACTAGATCTGAAGCATTGCAGATGAGAGTTGAAAGCCAACATTCAGCTTGATGACGTGGTGCTGATTTGGCTGTCTAGCGTCTGTTCCCCTCTGTCTGTTTGTCTGGCAGAAATTCACAGTCCTTAGCAACAGTGAAATTCTGATGAATACCAGACACTAACACAGACCCAGGTCCGGTAGCACACTCAGGCGCGTGCACACACACACACACACACACACACACACACACACACACACACACACACACACACTTGAAGCATATAGCCGACTACAGTATCAAGGTTGGGACAGTCCCTTTCTATCCATTAAAGTAGTTGAATGCAAACAAGACTTCACTTAAAAGCAATTTCTATCTATCAAAGTGTGGAAATCTGACCAGATAACTGCAGGGCACGCACAGCTGCCATTCTGCTAAACCAAACCTGTAAAATATGTGTATAAAAATCTAGCAGTCACTATAAAGAAACATTTTTTAAACTATATGTTGGGTGTGACACAGCACACAGTTTATGTGTAATGTAGCTGCTACCACCTGCTGGTCTGTAGCTGTGACGCAACTTTCACCAGACTCCTGGCAGCATGGAGAGAGGCACTGTGGGAGTTTTGTGTGGGTATGCATGTCTGCACATGTGTGTGAATCCTTGTATATAGTGTAGGGGTGGGAATCTCTAGGCACCTCACGATTTCGAATGGATTACGATTCAGAGGGCATGAATCTTTTTTTCTATACAGGATTTTTGGATAATTACCAAATATTTCATTTGCACATTAAAGTCCAAAAGAAACCTCTCCTCATTAGTTTTAAAGGACTACTTTGCATCCCTAATTTGCTTGACTAACCTCAGCTTCTCGCCATCCTTGCGTCTCCTCTGCAAGCTTTCACCATCACTTTCTGCCACACACTCGCATCTACATCTACACACACATCACTGTTCCTTAAAATATCTAACTTACACTGCTCTTATAAGAGTACCTGTCACGTAGATCTTCTTTGCTAGTCAAGCATTTAGTACTCACACAGTGTGCAAGTGAAAGTCATAAGTTGTGCACTGATTTTAAATGATTGCGTGAAATTTTTGTAGCGCTCATTCATTCAGCAGCTGCAGTGCACCGAATATAGGGGGAACACTGGTCTGTTATGTGCACGCCACATAAGGGCGCTGCACTTCTGCACTTCCAAATTCTGCCTTTTGCGTTTTGTCAACATTTGGTTATCAGTTAACATTTAGAAAATCCATTTAAGAATGGATTTTTCCTCCAACCCGAATAGTGTGTGTGTGTGTGTGTGTGCCTTGTCAGTCACTTGTCAGCTGCACTCAGCTTCAAGTCTGCAGTCTATTCATCGTCACATTGAAGACATCATTTAACTGAATTTCCTCCTGTAAAATACTTGAGCTCAGTGTGTTTGTGTGTGTTTTTCATAGCACAATCCTTTTAAACAGCGCTCTGTACTACTACTACTCACAAGACAAACTTCATACTTGCATACATGCATGTATACTTGAGTCCAAGTTTTTCCCACAGCAGACTACGATGCCACTGGTTAGCATGATAGTGACTCACGTCTGTCACTGTCTGTTTTTCCCTCTCTGACCTCTTTCATCATGGATCCCTGTGGTCTGCAGAGTGCTTTGGAATGGACTGCTGAAATCAAATGAATACTTGATGATGACAGACGGATAGGTCTCTTTTTCCCCCTGGTCTCTCCTTATCTACCAACAAGCTGTGTTGTCCTGTTGTCCTCACCTGGTTATCTAAATTTAAATCTTTGTTGGTGCCAGTTCCCAAAACCCAAAGCTTTTAAACATGATTGTATCATCATTTAAAGTCACTCATAAAATAAAACCTTATTAGAGTCTGAAACAAAAACAGGATGTGTCTGTAAGTACTGTGCTGTATGTAACACTTGGTGTGTCTTCCAGTGTTTTGCAGTGCGCTCTCTGGGATGGGTGGAGATGGCTGAGGAGGACTTGGCTCCTGGAAAGAGCAGTGTTGCTGTTAACAACTGCATCCGACAGCTATCCTACTGCAAGAATGACATCCGAGACACAGTTGGTATCTGGGGAGAGGTGAGGAAGAGAGCATAGTCAAACTGTATGTGCACTTTGTTGTGGGTAAAAAAGTTTGTAGCTGTTGGACATAAAGGATTTGGAGAGGAGGAGTGCTCGTAGAAAGCCAGTAAGATTAAATAAAAGGTAAGGGCGGAGCAAAGAAAAGAGCAACAGAAGTTAGCCAGGGCAACAGTCTTCTGAGATGTTTGTCAAAAGATGGAGGGAGGAGGGGGAGAATGAATGGAGGAAAGTGGAGCAATGTTTAGTTTTCCCTCTCTCTGCGGTGGTTGTGTTTAATGTGAAGCGACAGAGGGAGAGAGAGCTTCATCTTTCAATCTCTTTCAATAACCTTTCATCTCCCACCACCCCTTTGTAAGGTTTAATAATTTATTTAGAGACGCACACGGACGCACGTGCTTATACACCATACGTGCACACACAAGCAAAAACACTTTATAGGCATGTGAAAGAAATCCCTTGACCTTTTAAAGGACTACTTTTTGAGCTTCAGGAAATAAGGATTGCATGTTTTTGTGATGAGATCTGAAGAATTTGTGTGTGCGCGCGTGTGTTTTTGCTCAGGGGAAGGACATGTACCTGGTGCTGGAGAATAATATGTTGAACCTGGTCGACCCCATGGATCGCAGCGTGCTTCATTCTCAGCCAATCGCAAGTATCCGCGTCTGGGGCGTTGGCCGGGACAACGGCAGGTTAGTCATTGTGGCAACCACATTGCTTTTTTCTTTTTCTTTTAATGATTAAACCCTTCTTGCTTGTCTTCATGATTAATGTGTAATGGTGAGTGTGTAAGATGTCATGTCGTGATATTTCTCAGACCGCGCTCCAGATCCTCTTTAACATTTCTGCAGTGTAAATATTCTGAGATTCCAGTGTTGTTAACCAGTCATCTGGACCACGAACTATTGACTCACTCTTTTGTTACTTAAGTTTTTAAATTAATTGATAGGTTAGTCACAAGTGTAATTGAAGTCAATGATGCATCACACACACACTCAGTAAAAGGTCAGGGTAACAATTGAGGGCAGCAGAGGGGTGGTGTGGTGACAGGCAGGAGACAGGAGTTAATGATTGATGATGAAGGGATGCTAATGAATGATTAATTCATCAGTACAAAGGAGAGGGTGAGAGGGAGAATGGCCTTTATTCTCTATCACCGCAAATCCCCACCTGACTATCCGTCCCTCGCGTTCACCTCAGCTGAGCACGGTGGGCTTCACGAAAAGACAAATTCATACACAGCTTCACCGCTCCCAGGTTGATATTCCTGAAGTTGTAAGAGTAAGTAAAAGCAAATGTGCTTCACAACCAGTTGCTGCTCATGTGAAGGCTGAAATGAAACTTTAAACAAACACAGTGTGGTAGTGATGCCGCGCAACCAGTAGAGGGCGCTCTGCACTGCTTCTGAATGCACAAGCGTAGCGCCAATGTAGGTTATCAGGCACAGCCGGGTGACTGGAGAGGTCGGTAGCTGCTGTATAATTCGAGCTGGCACATATAATTCTAGCGCGCACACACACACATAAGCATGAGTGCACTCAGGGATAGAGGCAAAGCTAAGAGCTCTTGGCATATGCAGAAATACAAAATTATGTTGCCTCAGGGATCTATCTTGTCTCTCATCACGCACACACACACACACACACACACACACACACACACATACATGCAGCGGTGTATATTACAGTATATTTATAACTTAAGATCACCTTGCCAGATTAAACAAACGTATGTTTTCACAAGCCTTTATTTATACCGACCACATCTACATATAGCAGGAGAGTCAGAGCAGTGGGAAAACCTCGGCTGCAGCAGAGGGAGGAGGAGGAGAGGAGATGGTTAGAGGGAGGAGGAGAGAGGGTTTTGGCAGGAGAGAGGGAGAGAGGGGGATGAAGCTGCCAGAGGGGGAGGTATGGTTAGTGCTCACTGGGTGTGGAGCAGACAGGTTGAGGAGTGTGTGCATGCCTGCAGCATCACCAGGAATAGATGGTGTGAGTGTCTAACGACGCTCCCGTACACAGGATCACCTGCAAAGATAGAAAAACAGCCGTGAGTATGTTTTTATATACCTCTTACTTTTGGAACATCACTTCTGCTGTTTTATTTTTTTTATTCTAAAGTAGCAAAAAAAGAAAGATATGCTACAGGTATGAATGATCAGGCCTCAGTCTGTAGGAGATGTTGCTGAGCAGGTAGTTTGTAGGTTGATTTCTTTTTTACAGTCAGTGTGAGGTGTGCACAGCACAATTTGTTTGAGTTTTGGAGTGTAAAAATCGGATGTGGGTGCATGTGTTGGGGTTTGCTTGTGGGTGGGTGGTTGAACGGTAAACAGTGCTAATTGCAGATAGATTATGTGATGAAGGACTCATGATATCTGAATGTGGTAAAGGAAAAACAATAAAATGTGAAGCAGTTCAAGACCAAGACATAAGCGCAAAATTCTTAGTAGAAAAAATGTGCATCCTAAATTCACTCATGCAAAAATACCAGTAGCTGTTTGTGGTCATCTGCTGCATATCTTTGCCCATTTTACATTTAGTTTTTTTTAATATTATTTTCTTATAGGTTGTTGTGCTGTTGGCCGAGATATACTATGGAAATCAAATTCTGGTTGGAGCAGGGGTTTCCCTGCTCTCCCTTCCTGTCACACACACTCATACACACTTACACCCTTGTGATGGACTGAAGTGGTTGTGTCGGTATAGGAATTCTACTCCGGTGCCTCCCTCTCTCCCCGTGTGCCATGAAACTCATTATAACCATAGAGATTACGTATTCCCACAGCAACCTTGACATTTTCAGTGGCGTCGGCATGATGACAAGATTATATTCAAAATGACATATCACTCCTTTTTCCCCCTCTCCCTCTCTTTCCTTTGACTTTTATCTTCTCTCATCAATTGGGTGTTTTATTCTGCCCCCATTTTTATCTTTATCATGTACATTGTTGCTGTTCACTTCCAATTTCCTCTCCCAGTATTTCACCTTTCCTCTCATTATAATCTTTACTCTTCTAGCTCTCCCTCTTTGTAACTATTTTATGTGGCTTTCACAGAAACTCCCAGCCTATTTCCTTTAATCTTTTTTTAGGAAACACAAACCATGAGCAGCCTATTAAAGCTAACTGGGCCCATCCAGAACATCTCCATGTCCTGCTGTTCCTGCCCCCTCTCTTTTCCTTCCTGATTCAGTGTCTGTCAATTTTTTGTATTTTACCTCAAGGTTAATTATTCGTAAAAATGACCTGAATTGCTGCTTTGACCTTTGCTACACCCCTTCAACCAACATGCTCACTCTCTGTCTCTCAGACACACACGTATTTTCTGCACTGTTCTTGAAGCGGTTTTGTGGGAAGTAGTTTTGTCAAGCAAAGAAAATGAGAAAACTGAGTATTTAACTTGGTGTGTTTGCCACCTCTTGTCCCTCAGTAGAAGGTTGATACAATGGATTTTATTTCTTTCTTCTTCCACTAACTGTTCTCCTTTCCTCCCTTGCTTCCTTGGACACAGAGAGAGGTAAACACATTCCTTCCTTTCATCCTCACCGACCCTCCCGCAGTATCTCTCCATCATCTCTGTTATTCCTTATTGTTTAATTTCCTCAGCGTCTCATTTTTTGTGGCTCTTGATGTACTGGAGTGTTGTTTGCGCACACACTCAAAGATGTAGGAATTGAAGGTGACCTCCTCTGTCCTTCTCTGTCTCCAGACATTTTTTTAAAGCACGCACACACATATACTGACACACACACAAATAGGAGTCTTTTGTGGAGAGTTTCCCCTGAGGGGCTGGGCTCAGAAATCTTGTTAACCCTCAGGCCTGTGTTTGCTATTGCATACCATATTGAAGCAGACAGCTGGTAGGAAGTTATTTAGCTTGGTTTTATGAGCATTTCTGAATGACGTAAATCAACGTGCGTGTGTGTGCTACTGGGTTTAATTTGGTGCGGCTATATTTCATCTCATACGTCTTCATTCCTCTCTCCCTCCTTCTACTTTCCTTCTTCTTTTCATCCATGCTATTCAGTTGACTTTCGGCTCCAGTGGGCCCAGGGGAAAGTTCTTCCCTGATGTCACTCATTTAACTCCCTTTGCATCACACTGCTCTATTGATCTCTGGGGTCCATTGACCTGTGTGTGCGTGTGTGTGTGTGTGTGTGTGTGTGTGTGTCCTGTATTCATCAGACCGATTAAGGTCAGTTCATCTCATTTGTCTTCAAGAGCTGTAAGCCTCAAAATCTTTCTTGTCTCCAAAACTAGTCGCTCCTCTCATCTTCATCTTCCTGGTGTTTTTCTCCTTTTATCTGTCTTCATTGACCCTGTGTGTTTTCCTCTCTCACAGGGACTTTGCATATGTGGCGCGGGATAAAAACACTAGGATCCTGAAATGTCATGTGTTCCGCTGTGACACACCAGCCAAAGCCATCGCCACCAGCCTGCATGAAATCTGCTCCCGGGTAAGTGCTTCAGGCAGGAGCGGGGGGCGGTTTGAGGGGACCCAGAGACACAAAGCCCAGTTTGGCAAATAGGCTCAGATGAAGCTCCAACTCTTTGGAAGAGTTTTTCCCCTACCACTCAAAAGGGAATGCTAGGGGACTAGAAAAATACCGTGCTGTGGCACCCACTTCCAAAAGCCAAAACAACACATTTATTCGTAGCATTTACTCAAGCACAGATAGCTGTGGCACCGGACAATACATTCACTCAATGCATTAAAAAGCCCACCCTCAAGAGTGCTTGAGTTTTTTAATCATATTTAGTACGGCACAATCTAGGCACACATTTTAAGTATCTGCAGTCCTCAAAAAGTCTAAAAACAAGATTAAACTCATCTATATTCAGGCCCAACAAATTTTTATTCACCCAAAACACAGTTATCAGTGAGTTTCCTTTGGATGAATACATATTTAGAAGAACCGCATTCAAACCATGTTTTTATTGTGTTTGCGTTATTTACTGAACTGACTTGGAATTAATGGGCTTTCTGTTGTCCAAATAAAACACATTTATAGCTTTAGAACTTTAATTCAATTTTGGAAAAGATATTTCAATTCTTTATTTGTTTATGTAGACTCATAATTTGGATTTGAAGTTGATTCTATGTAGCATTTTAAAGTTGTTGTTTTTTTTTAATGTCTGTTACATTGTTATGACCATTGACTGGAACAAAGTGTTTTCCTGAAAGAGAAAGGTGGAGATGGAGCCCTTTGTCCTTGTTGTCATCCTTCATGCTGATACTAAGTGTCCCAAATATTTCAGTCAACCTATATTACAGAACAAAGAGTCTGTTTAATACAGGCTTTCACACAAAAAAGGATACATAAGGAAAGAGAGAATTGGCCACAGCAGGGGTTGCTGGTATGCAGAATTGTTGTGACAAACTCTCTGATTAAGGACCTGTAAGATGTTTATGTGTGGTGTATCATGTGTGTGACAGTGTGTGTGTATATGAATGATTTTGGCAGTCTGATTGTGTATTTGTGCGTGTGTGCATGCGTGCGCGCTCACTCGCTCGCTCGCTCGCTCCCCAGGAGACACGGGTAGACAGAATGACAGTATCAGGGGTGAAACTGCTCCAGGTTTTCCTGAGCTCTTTCGTGTTGACTCTTTCATCTCCCCCCCCCATCCTCTTTCACTTTCACACATTCTCCTCTTTGTCTCTTCACCCTCCTCCCCTATGTCTCTGTCGCGGTATACAAATTCTGGTCTGCCTTCACTCTGCATTTCCTCATACTTCTGTTTCTGCTCTCGCTCCCCTCCAGATAATGACAGAGCGAAAGAATGCCAAAGCGATGGCAGGAGGCTCTCTCCAGGACAGGATGCAGGCAGGATTAGATCTCCCTTTACAAGGTAGGAGTCATACATACAGTACCTCCCTCAGTGTGTGTGTGTGTGTGTGAGAGAGAAAGAGAGAGATAGTAGGCATCAAGAGGCGCATAGCAGACATCACTTCCGTGGCACACTGCATGCATTTAAACTCGTGTGTGTGTGTGTGTGTGTATGTATAACAAATAGCTGTTTCCTTATAAAAGGACTCACGTATTTTTAACTTGGACTCTCACCCAGTCGTAATCATGATAACAACAAGCTACTGCTGTCAGTTTTCAGCTCTCAGTCACTTTGTCAGAGAAAGAAACAGTTTGCTGTCACTTAGAGTATCTTCACACACAAATGTGATTGAACAAGACGCAGCAACAGTCGGCTTGCTACTGACAGCTCGTCAGATAAAACATCTGCAGTGTCTGTCTGCTCAAAATAAAGAAACCTGACATCTGCTTTTCAAACAGGAGGTGCAGTGTGAGAATGTAGGATTATATTCCACTGTGTCCAAAACAGTGTCTTATTATACAAATATAACACCCAGTAATTAACAAATAGATATGAAAGTGCTTTAACTTGGAGATATTCTTCAATTCTGCTTTTGAAAAATTATTCCAGAAGGGAGTAAATTATTCTGTCATCAGCATCTTTTAAACTTTGTTAAATTAAACACACTCAAGGACCGGAATGACCCGACATCACATTATTCAGTCAGCAGCCTTGTTAAAACCTTTCATAAAATCATCATCAAATTGTGACATTTATATATAAAAGGAGTTAGTGGTCAGGATCCAAATCCCTCTGTAAATGTGCATTGTTAGCTGTTTATGTGTAGTTAAATATTTATTCATGTGAGCACCTGTTAAATGTGTGTGTGGCTTCTCCCTAGCAGAGTTCCCCACACCAAAGAAAGAGCTGGTTCAGAAGTTTCAAGTGCTCTACCTTGGGATGTTGCCTGTGGCTAGACCAATAGGTATAACAATAATAATTATTGAACGAATAATAATAAAATGCAAAGAACATGGTTGGCGTTAATGTTGATGCTGATGGTGTATCTTCAGGTATGATTTTTATTTTTTATATGTTTGTTTTTTTTTAACATCCTCTGCTCCAGGCATGGACATACTGAACGGAGCTATAGACAGTCTGATCGGTTCTTCCAACAGAGAGGACTGGACTCCGGTTGCCCTCAATGTGGCCGATGCTACTGTCACTATCAGCAAGGAAAAGGTCAAACACACATCTGCCCCTGCTGAACGTCTGCCCCCAACCTCCCCTGGTTTGAAATATAATAAATCAAACACAGGACAAAGTGGTGCCAGCCTGAGAGGTTTGGCGTTATGGGATTTATAGATGCAACTTGCCTCATAGGCAAAGTAAATAACTACAATTCTCTTGACACTACAAGATTCTCTACATGCTTGCACTCAAAGGTAGTAGGACACAAGATGGCTGTAGCCACTAGCGCAAATGACATAGATTCGATTGGATTGAATAGATTTCACAGATAAAGGGCTGGAGAAAAGTACAGACTATGACTTTATTATAGGAGTAACGTTATTTTTCGTCAGCTAAGGCAGAGTGGCCAACACCAGTGTTATCCAAACAAAATATGGACACATGGCCAGTGAGTTTGAGTCATCTTTGAACGAACAGTGTGTTTCACGTTTGGCTTTACTTGCCTCAAACAGATGCTTCTTTATTTTGTCTGGTGCAGAACATTGTGTCGAGCCTGCCATTTATTTCCTTCAGCAATCACCACAGTTAAAAGTTTAATTGTTACTTGCACTTAAATGGTGGAAAACACATCACTTGTGGATTGAACAGACTTTATTGACATTGTCATCCAGAAAGGTAGCAAGCAGCTGCCCAGAGCAATGAGAAGAAATTGCAGCTTAGAGGCCGCAACCCTGCTAACATTCGAGCATGCAGAAGACATTGAATTTACTTTTTTTTCTCCTCATTTAAATAAGCTGTAACATCAAGGCACTTAAAGCCCAGCAGCTCCAGTGGACCTGTTTGATAGGGGGCTGCAGTTTTACTAAGCTGCTCTGCTGTATGAACATGTGTAACTATTTGAATGCCTACAAGTTCTAAATTCCTTAAATTTTTGTGATTAATTTTCTTCCCTGTTGAAGGAAGGATAGTTAAATCCTAAAAAACATAGTTTCTGATGTTTCTGACCAGGATGAAGAGGAAGTGTTGGTGGAGTGTCGTGTTCGTTTCCTGTCTTTCATGGGTGTGGGACGTGACGTGCACACGTTTGCCTTTGTCATGGATGCCGGCGGCCATCGTTTTGACTGTCACGTCTTCTGGTGTGAGCCCAACGCTGGGAACGTGTCGGAGGCTGTACAGGCAGCTTGTATGGTGAGTCACCGAGCAACACCACAACTGACAACACGGCTTAAATTACACCAAGCTAACTCTGATTAGGTTAGTCAAGAAATTAAGGAATCTCCCACAGTGCACATAGATGCGTGCTGAAATTTCAAATTCTAGTTGTGTAGTCTGTAGTTGTACAGTACTTCAATTCTGGGAAATTATAACAGTAAATGCTAGTGATTAGAGAGCTGCATTGGGATTGGGAACAGAAATCACGCGGGAGCGGGCGGTTAAAAAATATACTGCGGGTCCTGCAGTAGCGCTGGAGTCAACAAATGAAGCTGAAAAGAAGATAACAGTAAGTGTATGCGGCTGCTTCTGAAAACATACTGCACGGGCCTGACTCGAACCGGCTACTTTGGGTATGGGAGGCGGACACACTGACGCGGAGTCTAAACCCCATTTACACACTGCACAGCCTCGCTGGCTTCCGTCACACGGGCTTATACAATACAAGACCAAAGCAAGGCAAGTCTGAAATTTGAAAAATTTCTGAGCTGTTACTGACAAAATGAATGCAATTTGTGTCCTTTTTTTAACTCTGCATGTCACAATGTTTGCGGTTGCGGGCGGGAGTGGATCCACGTGTTGCGGGCGGTAATGGTCACGAAATCCGGGGGAGCAGGCGGGAGCGGGATCAAGTAAACAGTCTCGTGCGGGTCTCTACTAGTGATCACTTTGGTGTGTAGGGGATTTGAAAGTACTTAAAACAGGTTAAAATAATGTACATTAATTCTGTGAAGGAAAACATTGCGTTAGGCAACATTTTTCTTCAGCTAAACTGAAGTAGTGCTTCATTTAGGACATTTATTTAAACTAAGGTCATCGCACCCCTTAAAATTCAGACAGGCAAAGACATTTAGACGCTCTCTTTGTGAAAGTAAATGTCCTTGCCTATATTTTAGTGTTTTACTGTCAAACCTATCAGCTCTATTCAGGTTACAATGGGACCCTCTGTCAAAGCACTGTTGGTGTACAACATGCATTCACACCAAGAAAAACCACCTAAAGTGAAAATATAGTGTGTGTTGAGCATCAGTTGTCTCTGAAAGAGAACGCCCTTGCAAGTCATCCAGTAAAGATTTCCTGTTTGAGGTGTTTAACATTGCATTAAACTGTTGAGTTTCCAAAGAGGACACATGTATATTGAATTACAAACCACTGTAATAAACCTGTAACACCTTTACAGTGTTTTTACGTTATCATTATGATGTCCATAATCGCAACCCAGAATGCCCTCTGTGGTGTTTCTGCTCTAATGCAGCCCATTTAGTGGAGGTTACTCATCTTCCTCTCTGCTGTGTGTGAGTCACAAGATTAGTCGACTGCTGGCCGGGATATTGATCACACATCAGAACTTTGGATATACGGACTCAAACACGCGTGCACACACACACACACACACACACACACACACACACACACACACACTAAAACTGATTCACGGTGTCAAGAATAATCAGTCATTACTATTGATCACAGCTAGCAGCCTGCACCAATCGAGCTTTCCCGTCTCTTTCTCTCACACACACACCTAGTCGTATACTCAGCAGCTGTAACTCTCTATTATTTACAATATGACTCTTTCTTTTTCTTTCTTTCTCCCTCTCTCTCTCTGTCAGCTGCGGTATCAGAAGTGTTTGGTGGCTCGACCCCCCTCCCAGAAGGCCTGCGCCTCGTCACCCCCCGGTGACTCTGTGTCCCGTCGGGTCTCGACCAGCGTAAAGAGGGGCGTCCTGTCTCTCATCGACACCCTCAAACAGAAGAGACCCGTCACTGAGTTGCAGCAGTAAATGTGGTTAAGCTCTACCGACTCCCTGCCACAACCCCCAGTCACCATGGTCGCATCGCCGCCAAAACCCGTCACCAAGTAACCATGAAAACACAGCAAAGCCCCAGGGTTTGGGAAACCCTGTCACAGTTCCTTCGCTTTTCTGGAGTAAAATTGGAATTTCACCTCAAGAGTTCATCAGCTCGAGAAACAACTCGAATCCGTTTCCTTTTAAAAATAACTAAGATGTATAAAGACTCTTATCTGACATGAAGAAGGAACAGAGAAACACCAGAAGGGTGATCGTAAACGTGATAGTGTACATAGAAGTAACTCTTACCCCCCTCAGCGCAGAGAAGGAGTGAGGAGAAGAGAGCAAAAAAAACAAACAACTGAAGAAGTAGGAAATGCTCCTTCAAGCACAGCACGTGTGATAAGCAAGCTCTTTGCTGCCCAAACCGCTTATCTCTCCATGCTCTAATTGTATTTGTGTCTGTGCCCGTGCTGCCAGCATGACCTTGCACACCTGACCACACCCTCCAGTCATTCACCTGGTTGTCCTGTTAGTCCCCCCACCCCCCCGTCCTTCTTTGTCATTGTCCTCAGTAGACTGTAACGTGAGGTGGATGGAAGGAAGGAGTCATGAAAGCCATCGTGTCTGATTTTCAGATATAGATAGATAGATAAATAGATTTGTCAGTCCACCCACTCTCACACCTGCTCAACTGATCCTGCATGTACTTTTTATAGAAAAGTGAACCATTCTAGACAATATCAATACACTGCTGCTGGTTTCAGAGACTGAAGGGGCAAGAAATCCGAAGCCACTTTTCTTTTTCTTATTTCTTTGTTTCTCGTCAAATGTGCAAGAATCAGCTTGGGCATCGACGAGTGGTGACCTTTCACCCAAAAAAAACCCCTTCATATACTTCCTGTTGTTGTCTTTATTTTTTTGTCATCCTTCAGAAAATGATAGCGTGACGGAGGAAGACATGCAGGGATTGGTAGACACTGCTGCTCCAAACACAGGAGACATCAGCATGCTGCTGCTCTTTGATACACATGCTGGAGAAGATTTGACAGGTTATTCCTTTAAATCCCACCTCAACATCAGTCCCCAGAAACTTCATGTCCACTAACTAAAGAAAGGCTAGAGGAATCATGCAGAGGAGAAGACTGGAGGAATGTGGCGATTTGTCCACAGCTGAGATCTGAACTGTGAGGAGGTGAGAAGGAGAGTGGTGGGTTTCACCTCCACCCTCAGCTGTTTTTTGAGAGGAAAGCCAACTGAGATATGTTGACTCAACCCAACAGGACTGTCCTGGGCTGCTATCTCTCTGTCTCCAGGGTTCTGTTCACTTGAATGCATCTTCTTTGTTTTTTTCATTTCCTACTTCCTTGCTGTTTGTCCAGTACCACGAGATCACTCGTCGGTTTTCTGTAGTTTTTCTCACACAAATCTCAATTCTACACTGCTAGCTCCTTATTATCGCATATCTGACAAGACAAGCTTGGATGTATGGTAATAACTAACAAAGTCCTTTATTACGACAAAAATCATAAACACATTTTACCCCCTGGCACTTTTCTTGATGTAGGACAGCAGATTAATACTGAACCTCCTTTGCTAAACCCTCCTCCACTGGACAGCGATTGTCTAATCAGAGTTTTTGAACCGTAACTATGCATGGGCCACCCTGTCAAGCTCTTAAATTGCTCCACATGTTAAAGCTTGTGCAGGGATGGTAGGAAGGGTTGTATCTTTTATTTTTTATTTTTTTTAATAGCCTTTCCCAAACAGTAACACAGCTATGTGTTTTTCTGCTTTAACATAAGACGCTAATGTTAGCATGTCCGGCTAACTAGCTTGCAGTTTATGTTAATAAAAAAAAAAAAAAAAAGTGAAAACAGCTCAGTTCTCTCTATAGTATGGATGCTACTATATCAGAGTTAAGGGTAACTTTAGCAGCTTTGTCCTGGTCTTTATTGGATTTGAGGATGTTTCACTCAAGCAACTCCAGCCAACCCTCTTCCTAAAACCTTGAAGATCTCGTTTTTTGAAATGTTGAATGTTCATGTTTGAAAATATTAACACTTAAGTATAATCTAAAATCGGTCTTGCTTGTCAAAGTATGTACTTTAAGCAGGCAAAGAGGGTTATAATAAAATAAAATGAAATAACAGTCTGAAATTATTTTCTTTTATAGTTATTTACTAGTGCTAGGGCTAACTAGCTCTACATTACAAGAATGTACAAGTCTTCTATATGGATCATCAACCGGTGAGGAGGCTAACATGTAGCTTTAGCTTCAGTATTTTAGCAACACATTTTGTATGTAGCCATCAAGTGCATATACCATAATCTAAAGTCAGCCAGAGACGGGACTCATGGAGCTAACGTTAGCTTAATTAGCCAAAATCGACTGTCGCCGGTTAGAATGACAGTGAGAAGCTGCTTTCGTTTATTTCTACATGAAATCAAAGAACCATAATTACTAACGACTTACAGATCTGCAGACCTCATGTGTGGCGTGAGTGAAGAATAGCTAAAGGGGAGGCGGGGCTTAGCGGACAGTGAAATTGTTACAGCTGTAGGTGCATCTGGCTCGTTGTTTCCGTATCTTGCTTCTAGCGTCTGAACTCCGCAGTTGACACACAGGTTGAAGGAACCAGGAGTGTAATTGAGATTCTGATGAGAAGATTCGGCCACATCACCTTCTTTTGTCACAAGGATGTTGAAATGTGAATGAGATGACAAAATCTATGTGTACATAATATCCATGTAATGTAAGATTTGGCATTAATCATTGTTATAAGCTACCTTTTCATTTTGAATGTCTGTAGTTTTCTGTTATTTTCTTGTAATGAAATGCCTTTTTTTGAGAACTCACCAAATGGCCAAAGTGTAAAATAGTGATATACATTGTTGTAGATAAGAAAAAAAATTACGAGAGCAAATAATGAAACAAGGAGAGGTGATTGGAAATGTTCACAGTTGTCAATTAAGTTGATACTGAATATAACTAAGTGATTATCTATGCATTCTTTTGATCTCGAAAAACAGAAAGTCATAAAAAGCCTTGCATGCCCTTGGATGGTTGAAAGAACGACTGTATGTACTGAACAGAAATATTTTTATTTTATTTATTCTATTTTATAAAGGTATATACTGATTTTATTAGTTGGGGCAAGTAAAGTCACTTGACTCTCTGTCATTATCTCAGTCCCTGGTTAACTCACAATGCTACAACAAGCGCCGCTTTGTAGGAACAGGTAGACAAAGGAATATATCCTCACCTTGTACAGTGCACTGAGAGCTGGGAGTCCACTGTTGGTCTGAACAGTTAACAGGATTGAAGAGGAGGAGGAGGATGGTGGTAACAGGACTCCCAGCATCTCTGTCAAGCTCACACACATGAACAACAAACACACCCATTTCCCACAGATGGATGTGTCGGCTTGCGTTTGCTGCTCACCGATTTGTACACTTTATCAATGTAACCAATTGTGAGAATAAACAGCATTATAAAATAGAACAGCCGGCTTTTGTGCATCTGTGTGTGTGCAAAGTTTTTATGCCTATGAGCCCTCTTCACAGGTTTCAGTCTGTCCAAGAGTGATTTCTATCCTTCTCAGATGGACAGAATAGTACAAAGATTTTAAGATAATGGATAATATAAGTATGTATACAGGTGCAATTCAATTCAGTTTTTGGTTTTAATGTAGTTGCTTATGGCTTACAGCTCATGGAAATTGAAATGCCAATATCTCAAAACTATTAGATTTTTAGAATAACTGATTAATAATACAGAAACGTCGACCTGAGAAGAGCTCTAATCGGCTAATTAACACAAAACATGTAAAGGTTTCCTGAGCCTTTAATCTCCCAGTATGTCTCACAAGGGGAGTATGAAATAAAAGACCCTCCACTGCTCCCCCCATCAATTTAGGTGACCCTACTTTGGGCTAAAAATAAAATACAAAACCCTAACCCCTTTTCAGTTCAGTTCAATTTGGCATTTTCTTACTAAGAACCATAATTCAGGTTCATTTTGATTGACTGATCGATTAACTGACTAATCACTTCAGCAGTGTTTATGTGTGTTGTATGACGAAGTCATACCCTGTGCCGTGGGATCTTTCACATGTTTATTTCTATTAAGCTGCCATCTTATGACGGGAAAAAAAACGAAATACAATCTAGTACACAGTCAAATAAGTAAAACATGCTTCTCTAAGAATACATTTAATACAATAATTACATTTAAAAAGAATTTTTTTTTTTAAATAATGTACTTGGGGGTCCTTTATGATCTGTAGTGTCAGAACATGCTAGTAGTTTAATTTACCACATCAGTGAGCATGATCTCCACATTTCTATAATCCAGGCAGAGAGACGGAGGTGGAAGATGCACATATTTAGGTGAGCTGAGAGGGGGAGGCCCGTGACAGACGCTGAGATGGAGAACTGCCATTCCTGCTGCTTGGGGAGCTGGAGGATGGGAAGGAAATGGGTGGCAGGACAAAATCTGCATGCTTTGACATGATCTGTGTCTCCACCTCTGTTTTAGGTCTGACCACCTTTCCCCTGGCCTTAAACAGGCTTTGTGGTTGAGCTGCATCCTTGTGTGTTTTCCCTGCTCTCTCAGGCTCTGTGTTTTGTCTCTGCACCTGCTTGGAGGCTGCATGGGGAGTGGGTGGAGCAGGACGGGCAGGGGAAGGGGTGCTAGAGACAGTCTGCTGAGATTTAATTGCTGGATTGTCACTTATCTTGTGCGCAAGGGCTGTGATTGGTGACAAGTAGTTGGAGGGTTTTGCAGAGGACATTAATGACAGTGTGAGACGAGGTATTCTTCGCAGTTTACTTTTTGTCAGACGCCTCTTGTGATGCGGTTGTTTGACTTTACTCTTTGTTGGTTTCTTGTGGCTTTCAGGGTTATGCTTTGAGACTGTGGTCCAGTTGGTTTGTCGTTTGACCTTTCGCTTACTCCCTTTAAGCCCTCTCCTCTTCTTTCCTCCCTTACCCCCCAAATCTTCCTCCTGTACCTCATCTTTTTCCTCCTCACTACATTCACCTTTCTTCTCTTCCTGTTCTGAAGAGTCGATTCTTGCCTGCCTCGCTTGGTCTGGGGTGGATGAAGGTTCGCTGCTGGCTGAAGCTACGCGATTCTTCCTGCTCTTTCCCTTTTTACCAGGTTTTGATTGTTCAGGAATTATTCCACCCAGGAGGCCCTTTGCTGCTGCCCTTGCCAGCACATCCTGGACTGTTTCCACCTTGGTGGGATCTGCCTAAAAAAGCAAGGCCAGTTTAAGATTTGATGTGAAGAAACAACACATTAAAATTACAGGCCTCTAGAGTAACATCGCACCACGGAGATCTATACAACAAAACACTGAGGCTGTAGAAATGATCCACAGTTATTAAACTAACCTGCAGAGGAAGAGAGGAGAGATCGCAGGGGTTTTGATGGCTTTTAAATCCCAGCGGAGCAGAGTGTAGGAAATCATTTGAAAGGCAACACAATAGTTACTGTCACAACCTACTTATCTTTTCTTCTCCTCTTTCTATGTGAGAAAACAAGACTTTACAACCACGCTAGCAGCTCTGTGAGGCCATAGCCTACTTAGGCAATGCTAACTGCATTGTCAGCATGGTAACAAGCTAATGCTTAGCATGTGTAAGGTTTACCATTTTCACCATCATAGCTTAGCGTGTTGGCATGGTAACGTTTGCTAATTAGCACTAGATGGAGAGTACAGCTGAAGCTGAAAGGTATATCAGTCATTTTACAGGTATTTGGTCATAAATAACACTAGATGATCGTAAAGAGAAGCAATGTGACTACAATTCATTCAGAGGAACACGTGAATGCCTGTAGCCATACATTCATAAGTAGTATTTACTCCGTTTTCTTGTGATAACAAGTTTGTTTTCTTGAGTTATTTATGCCATTATCTTGGGAAAACACAGTTTCCTAATCTCAAAATCTAAAGAAAATTATCCTATTAACTCAGGAAAACAACATTTTTTATTTCGAGATAATGACATGAATAATTTGAGATCTCGAGAAAACAAATTAAATTAACTCTTTATCATGGGAAAACAGAGTAAATAAAATGTATGTATGTATGTATGTATGGCCTCTTAGAGCTTCGGTACATGACAATCCATTCAATACTTGTCAAGACATTTCACTGAAATCAACAAATGTCAGCCTCATGGTGGAGCAAGAGGAAAATTCAGGGGATCACCAAAATCTGTAGGCTTCATCCTCTGGGGTCCATAAATGCCTGTAGAAGATTTCATCCCAATCCATCAAATAGTTGCTGAATTCAGTGTGTGGCATCAGCAAAGCAATAAACAAAAAAAATAAAAGACAACATGCTTGGTGGACCAAAGTTTTCCATCCCTATTAAGTAACGCCGCTTATAATTTGTTGGCTGTGGCTGAAAAGCGGGCATACCCATGGTCATATTTATCATACTGGATATTTCAGGCTGAAATGGGGCACTAACCATCAGACCAACACTGCCATTCAAAGCCATGTTGCTGCATAATAAATAGAAGTGAAGAGAGTACTCATAATATGTCTATGTTTTACAGGGTGCTCAGTGTGATTAATAAGATGAACTGAGTCAGAAAACAAGATGTGGCCAGTAGGTTCTTCAACACCAAACTTCTTTCTCTATGTGTGCATACGTCTTAATCTGTTGTGACATTTAAACAGTAGAAATCCCTTTAAATCTCCTCTAAGCTTTCCTCTTCCCTCTCTCTGTCTCAATCTCCATACAACATCTCTTCTCTAATGGAAGTTGAATGATGTTCAGCTCACTGCTCAAAACATTGCATTGGTTAATGCCTTTATCCCATCAGCCTCAGCGGTATGAGCAAATATTAGCATGCTAACACACTAAACAGAGATACCCACTAAACATCAGCATGTAGCTGACAGCATTTAGCACAAAGCATCGCTGTGCTAGCAGTACAAACTTTGTTTCTCTTTTTTTTTTTTTTTACTGTAACAGCATTATGAGTCATTTAATGGAAAGGGTGAAGATTACAATATACTAGAGGCATGAAAGATGGCAGCCTGTCAGATCTGTTTACAGATAAGATTTTTTTGATTTCGAGGAGGCTTCCTGTTGCTATGCCCCTTCTCTTTCTCTTTGTTTCTCTATCCTGCCATGTTGTCTATTTCAGATGCCTTTTAATGATCCTCTCTAGCGCAGTTTGACTGGGTTGGAGAGCGGCAGTTAACCTCCCCAGAATTGTCACTGTAACTACATCTGCAGCCGCAGCTCTGATGTGATTTGGCTCACCGTAAGAGTAAAATGTCAATTTAATTAGACATGATGATCATTAGATTTAAAATTATTGCACTGCCACCGGACAGGTGGGCAAGACCTGCCCCCTGTGTGTGTATATATGTGTGTGTATTGATATTAACACACATACAGGCACAGTTCCCTCCCTGCACCATTTTTTCGAGCTGCAGGGGATCAAAGGAGAGCAGCATCTCATTCCCTTGTGTTGTATTTTTCTTCGTTTTATGAGTGGAGCAACGGCAAAGAACGAGGAGGGGGCAAATAGATGTAGCAACGAGGTGATGCAACAAGACTGGAAGGGGGGATGGAAAAATTCAACAGGATATTATCCATTCATCTTTGCTGTAAAATACCGAAATATTTCAGGGGCTCAAGTGTATTTCATCTTTAACTCGTCTCTTTTTTTTATGGAGCATTGGAATAATGCTGCAGTGTTTCAGGGAGCGCGCGTGTGTGTGTGTGTGTGTGTGTGCAGACAAGCAGAGCCGACCGACCTCCCAGCAGACAGACAGTAAAAGATTGCAGCCTCAGCACTACTGGAAGGTCTCGTTGCAAAGCAATCACACACACACACACACACACACACACACACACACACACAAACACACACACCACAAAATCGCTGTTCCCTCTCAACATTCTAAACACAACCTCACCCCCTACATTTCACTCTTTTTTTTTTTTTTCCTTTCAGCCTCCACGTCTTACACATTTCCCTCCTTCCTCTCTCACCTGTCGGGAAAGCCGCGCAATGAAGCAGCCGTTGGTGAACTCAGATGTTTCCAGCCTGAAGAACTTGGAGTCAGTCGTGTCTCCTGCCTGGGGGTTGTCTGGGAAAATCGGACCGTTCACCCTGAGAGAGCAGCAGAGCGGCTTGTGTAAAAGTTGTTGCTGACAATAATTCATGACTGCCACATTAATTCAGAGAAGTATTACTGTAAACAAATGGCAGTATCGCACAAAGGAATTGGCAATTTCAGGAAATAATAATAGGGTACAATAAATTCCTTTGACAACCAAAGGCAGCTGGTGAGAACTTTTGTAACTAAACTAATAAACTGATGCACAGTTCTTCTACAAATAAACAGTTTTTACTTAAATTGTAGGCACAATAATGTTAGAAGTTCAGGGTCAACTTCAGTGCAATAGTATTTATACACAACTACTGACTCTTGGTGTAAGTGGGAGGGGCGAGTTGGTCCATCAGTTTATCTCTAGGCTCAGGAAAAGCATGTTTACGCACCCCTGCACTGCCAGCTGTCACTGCTGATTCCTGTATATTGTACATCTGGTGTGAGTGTCCTCAGCATTATACTGTATATGTTGGCAAACGTTGGTTAACAATTCTCAGCGGACCAAACGCTCTCTAAATTCTGTTAAAATATGGAGAGGATGTTCTGATACGACCTTCATTCGCATTACAATTCTCAATGAAAAGCTCTTTTTGGAAGCAAGGCACATTTGTTGAGAGTGCACTTGCTGCCATTTTAAGTGGGGTGACCATTTAAAAAAGCAACCCAGAGCATTATTATTTCCAGAGGTCCAGAATTTGTACTTGTGGGATTATTCTAATGAGTTTGATGAGCTTAAAATATTATAATTTTAAACAGTTGCAGTGAAGTAACACTAGCCTGAAAAGCAGGATTGGCCTGCCCTCTCTGGTTGAAAGCTTCCCATCAGCTGCACCTCTGAACAGAACCAACAGCAGTGATGTGACAGTGTACACTTCTACATCACTGCACCAAGGTGAGAAGATAAGCAAAAACAATGTTTTGTCACCAAAGTGTTTTCTTTTAAATGTTAATAATTATTTTTTATTGAGAAACTATACAAATGAATACAGACGTCCTCAGATTGAAATTAGGAAACAATCACAAAAAACAAACAAACAAAAAAAAAACAATACAAACACACATCGTCACTCTGCACCCTGTCCCAGGACTTCCTGCAGTGTAATATTGTTGAGGCAATAATTAGTAGTCAAGATCAACTCAACCTACTCTTTCAAGGTACTGGAGAAGGGGATCCCAGGTTTTATTAAAGTGTCCCATTCTGTTTTATAAGACAAATCTTATCTCTTTTCACAGGTGCAACCATTTCTTAACCATTTCTTCCAACCATATTTTAACAGAAGGGGCCTCCGATTTCTTCCAGAACTGTAAAATAAGTTTCTTTGCTACAATTAAAGCATATGATAGCGGTTTTTGTCGACATATTGTTAATGAGTAGATGGGCTCACCGCTGTACTTAAACCATACAACTTTGAAGAAGGCAAAAATATCAGGAAATAAAGCGTCAATGACGCACATAATTATTCATAAAGGTAACTGAACAGTTTACTCTGTTTAAAGACACACAATGTTTGTTTTAGTTCCTCCCTGTCCCATTCTTCCTTCCCTGATGTTTAAAAAAATGGCTGTCACACTCAAGAATGAAGAAATTACTTTTCTTATATTTCTTAGTTTTGATGGATCGCAAACTTGTTATATACAAGGGAAGCAATTTGGTGGCAGTTTAGAAGATTAGCATGTATGTTAGTTACTGTGCACCTGTGCCACCTGTTCTGATGCAAGCAGTGGTGTTTTTGAACTTCATTGAATTCTAGTACTGTAAACACAGATGTGAAACAGCTGCTGGTCATCTCATCGCACATTGGTAAGTTAATAAAAGATTATTTTTTTATTATTGTATTTCTATTAAACCAAATATAACATTTGGATTTTGTTAAGTGGGTGGATGGTAGAAAATTGTGAGTTGTGTGGAGCAGCGAGCGTGAAATAGAAATCTTATCCACCTGATTCACCCCAACTGTAGGATTAACCACTGTCCCCACGGTTTCCGCTGCTGATCCTTTATACTGTCATCAGCCTGGTGACTGTAACCTCTCTCTCTCTCCCACACTGTGCATACAGTATATAGCGTATATGCGGAGATATGAGATGCCTTGTCATAATTACTTATACTCTTTAAGATTTACATTATATGTATTGCATGATGCACAGCAAATTATGTCGTCCAGCATCATAAGAGTGCGAGAGCAACTTGCTAAACTGCTGTTAACTGTTACATGGATTGCCATGACATTTTGTAGACACTCAATGTCCCCAGAGGCAGGCCTCCCCGGGGGGGGGGGTTCCAAACAGTTTCACGGGAGGCTCAGTAAATAAATATTAAGGGGTTATGGTTAAGGATAAGGGGTTGATGATTGATGGATGGATGGATGGATATAGAATAGTCTAAATGTGTATGATTTGGTTAAAGAGATAGATTTGGGGAATTTTACAGTTTTTCTCATGTTCACTTAATAAATTAATAAATGCCGTAGGACAGACCTTTATTATACTAACAAAATTATAAAGGCAACACTTTTGTTTTTGCCCCCATTCATCATGAGCTGAACTCAAAGATCTAAGACTTTCTCCATGTACACAAAAGGCCTATTTCTGTCAAATATTGTTCACAAATCTGTAAAAATCTGTGTCAGTGAGCACTTCTCCTTTGCTGAGATAATCCATCCACCTCACAGGTGTGGCATATCAAGATGCTGATCAGACAGCATTGGTATTGCGCAGGTGTCACCGTAGGCTGGCCACAATAAAAGGTAACTTGAAAATGTGAAAAATGACCAAATACCTGCAAAACTAATGACATTCTCAGCCTCAGCTGTATTTTGTGCTAATTAGCAAACGTTAGCATGCCACACTAAGATTGTGAAGATGGCAAAAAATTATACTTGCTTAACTTCAGCATGTTAGCATTGTCATTGTGAGCATGTGGAAGTTAGCATTTAGTTTAAAGCACCACTGTGCCTTCAGGAACAACCTTACAGAGTTGCTAGCAGGGCTGTAGATTCTTAGTCATCTTATTTAGATTAAAGCCATGCGGGTTGGTTTTATAAGCTGACATCTTGTTTGATCTCACTGAAAGTAATCACCTTGATGGATGGACATGAATACAATAATCTGACTGAATCACAGTGACAGTCAGAGCACAATTACTCAGCTTCAAAGTAAATGTCCAGTTGATGTAAACTTTAAAGCAGGTGCCATCACTGTGAGCTGACAGTCACCTGCCGCTCTCACACAGGCTGGTTGGGTAGGGAAGGCAAAAACTGGGTCTAAATTTCTTCAGCTTCCTGTTTTCCTTTAAATGCACACTTATTGCTTTATGTATGATCTGTAGTAGAAACAGTACGCTACGTGACTAATTTCAGTCGGTTTCCTCATAACATTTGAGCCAGTGGACGAGTAATGAAAAATCTGATTGCAATATCAAATACCTGCACAAAGAGAGAGCAGATGTTTGTGTGCGTCTGTGTGTGTGTGTGTGTGTGTGTGTGTGTGTGTGTGTGTACCTGAAGGGCAGCAGTTTGGGGTGACTGTGTGTTTTCCCTAACACACTTTTCACCAGCTGTTCGTTTTCCTCAGGATACACTGAGCGTGTGCAGTAGACCACTGTCTGAACCTTTGGGACTAGGAGAGAATACAATGTGCAAAGAATAATCCTCTATTCTGTCCTTTTAACACTGGCATCTTATCAACAGTAGGCACAGAAGGAATTGTAATACAGACAAAGTTCTTGTGTTTGTGTATGATCTCCCCTGACCTGACATAACAAATGTATGACTCTGTTCACTGAAATGTTGAATGTATTGTCTTTTGTTGCTTGGAGAGTGGCTTGAAAAATATGTGTCTGTGTGTGCTATGAATAAATACTTACAGGAGAGAGTGTGTGCTAGTAGTCGTGCCTGCTGGGTGGCCATTGTGTGTATTTTGCTCTGGGATACAGAACCGTAGGACAAGTCTGGCAGCAGATCCCAGTCTGTCAACAGAAAAAAATCATATTTGGGAAATATAATGGAAAGAAACTACCACTTCATATTACCATCAATACTAGTTCCAGCCCTGAGAGAGATCTTCTTACATTTACATTTATTCATTTAGCTTTTCTCCAAAGCGACTTGCTGCTATATATACAGGTGCTGGTCATATAATTAGAATATCATCAAAAAGTTGATTTATTTCAGTAATTCCATTCAAAAAGTGAAACTTGGATATTATATTCATTCATTCCACACAGACTGATATATTTCAAGTGTTCATTCCTTTTAATTTTGATGATTATAACTGACAACTAATGAAAACCCCAAAATCAGTATCTCAGAAAATTAGAATATGGTGAAAAGGTTCAATATTGAAGACACCTGGTGCCACACTCTAATCAGCTAATTAACTCAAAACACCTGCAAAGGCCTTTAAATGGTCTCTCAGTCTAGTTCTGTAGGCTACACAATCATGGGGAAGACTTGACAGCTGTCCAAAAGACGACCATTGACACCTTGCACAAGGAGGGCAAGACACAAAAGGTCATTGCTAAAGAGGCTGGCTAGTGTCCAAGCACATTAATAGAGAGGCGAAGGGAAGGAAAAAACTTTAATTTTGTGTACATTACAAATATAAATTGTACATTAAAAGGTACAGCAGCATGTATCACATATTGACAAAAATACCTTCAAATTAAAATAAAATCAGTAAAATGATGACATATGATCAGTATTACTGAAAAGTACACTATACACATCTCATCATTAATGTTACCCAGGGCCCTTCATACGGTTCGGACTCTGGGCACGGCTCAGATGACCTCACGGCAAGCCATCCCACTTCTGACACCATATGCGGCCAAATGTGAGAGCAGTCATCCTACCCAGATTCAAACACAGATCTACAGAGTTCCAAACATGCAACTTCGACAGCAATGCCAAAAAGCCAGGCTCGCTGGTATGGCAGTCCAAGCGCTTACTCAACTGTAGTGAAGGTACTCCGTCACAAGCACACAGTACAAATGGTGGAGCCAAAAATGTCACAATCCTTATCCTTGGAGCGGAGGATGGGTATCTTTGATTAGGATTCGTTGCATTTTCACTATGGGATTTCGAAATTGCTTTATCACACAGCATCTGTGGAAGGGAAAAGGAAATATTTTGTCTATATCAAAGCAATATTACCTCTAATTAATTAACAACCATTGTCAGATTTTTTATTTTGTTTAAAGTTGCTGAAACACAATATGACATCATGTCTAACTGTTCTGATGCTGACAGAATGACAGCGTAAATGTGGCGGGGGAGGGGGCGGCTTTAGCAGGCGATATGCTGAATTTCGCTTGCCTGCCGAGAACTGCATGCACTTCCAAATACTGCTTTTAAACACTATAATTTTCTTTGTGGGGTAAATGATTCAAAATGTTTCATGAACGTTTAGAGCTGTTGATATTTTATTAGCTACAGTTAGTCGAAGCAGCATTCCTTGAGATTTAGCAATAAATATGTGGTGATAACCGAAGTTGATCAATGAGCACAGCAAAGAGTCTTAAAAGGTCCTATACAGGTGGATGTATAATTTGGCAGAACAGATGATGTAGGCTAATATACCTGCCGAGATTTGAGTCCACCTCTTTTCTCAGCATAAAAGGGCGTTACCACACATCATCTAATTCTCGGCAGGCAGGCAGAATTCGTCCCAAAACCTGGCACTGCAAAACATCACCATTACATAACATTACCTTGCGGGAGCAAGGCAGTGGCAGGCGCCGAGTCTGGTGCACGCGGTTTCTCTGGCTGCACAAAGTTGCAACCACCTTTTGCCTGATCATTGTTCTAAGCTCACATTAAACTCACGCAGTCTACCGGAGGCAGATTATGTCTGACGGTGCTGTTTTTATACCCCGCCCCCGCAGTCGCCTGCATCTCACATTAGACTAGCCTATCAAATTGGCGAAAGTCAGCCGCAGTCATCTCGAACGCACCTATTGAATACCAGTTATGAATAGAGTGCTATCTTCGATAGCTGTAGGCCCATTCTAAAGTTAACATAGCTATCCTTATTGGCAAGTCTCCTTACATGCTCGCTAATAAATTTTTTAAAGTGTGCAGTGGGAGTGACCGAGTGAGGGGAGCGAATATGTGCTGTGCAGCACTGCAATTAAAATGGGTTGCCAAATTTGCTTGGGCGGCTGTTAATCTACCTGGGCGGCCCGCCCAAGTAAAGCTTATGTGTGGGAAACACTGAGGTGGTGAAATGATTTTCCACAAGGGACCCGTCCCAGTAAATGCACAGTTTTTCCATTACAACATAATCAAAACATTACATAAACACTACGATGCATTCAGCCAAGGAGCTGTATAAGATAAAATGTTATTAAACAGGTACAACAAATAACACAAACATACAGACTTGCTTAACAACTGTTCTGTCTACATGTCATTTCACATTAACACAGCAGTCAATTTGTGAAGTACAAAAGTAGACAATTACTTAATGTATAACAATATTTTAAATAAAAATATTTTTTCACAAGAAAGTCTGACCCTGCTGACATGTATTGAGAGCAAGACCAGTGATCGCGTGCAGGAGCCAGACATACCTATGAGCACATTGAGCTTGTGAGGGTCCAGCTGGTCCTTTGAGATTTTCGTAGCCTCTGAGCCATCTGAGTGAGGCAATGATCCCAGGAAGCTCTAAAATAAAAGAAATGCAGTTGCAAATGAGATATCATAAATATTCAGTTAGGCCAGTACTTCCACCTAGTTTAGTTCTTCATTTGCGTTTCATTCTAAACACTGTAATTCTATACTTATAGCAAATCTTTATTATTATTCTTTATTTAATTTTTTTTTTATTTGAGCTAAGGCAGCAAATTCCAACTCTGGGTTTAGCATGAACTTGGTTAAAGTTGGCAAAGGGTAGGTTCAACTTTAAAAGTTGAATACAGGATCTATGACCATACAAATGGAAAGTTGAGCAGTATTTTACATAACATCACAAGCGATTATATCATGTGGTCAGGCATTAAAAACATTATTTCAAGCAATTCTCACATACCCGTGTACACTTTAACATTGCTGTTATAACTGAGTTATTGGTCACTGTAATAATTACCCCTCCATGGTTGCAGTGAAGTGAAATCTCTAAAAAAAACAGTGTACCTTTAGAAGATATCCACTTTTGAATAGTCTAACGCAGATGCTTAGCTGATGATTCATAGTAACTTCAGCTAAACTTTAGAATGAATTTATACAAAAATGACAACTGTGGTGACGTCTTTACAGACTATATGGGCAGGAATAATGATTAGTGACCAATAACTTACTGTAAACATGGACATGTGAGTATTAAGGTAGACAATAAAAATGTGAACCTATTCTTAAGCACACAGACAGCAACACATTAGCTGCATTTATTACTCTGATAAAGACTTCACTGGTCATTTTAACAGTGCAAAAGCAGAATTGAGGGCTCATCCACACACATGCACAGGCCTGCCTTGTTAAAATCTCATGCATCAAATTCCAGCAACAGGTTACTGAGATTGTTGATTGTTCCCGAAATTTTAGTAAAATTAAAAACTGCCGTTCAGCAAAAAGCAATACATTACTGTAAGTAATTTCGTTTCTTTTGTAACACGTTACTCCCAACACTGTTTAAGGCAGACGAAAGTTGCTGTCTCGATTATGAAGCTATTAACATGCTAACTAACGTTAGCTAACAAATATATTAATCCACGTGCTAGCATTAGCTAATGCACACCAGAGCTATCCACCAAGTAAAATATTTCCAAACCCAGAATGAGCTCAACTTTAGCTAACTTACACAATTGTGTTGTCTCGCTAACAATAATAAACTTACCAAGAAAGACGATTTTTGCTGGCAGTCTCTGCGTCTGTCCTCTCCTGCTTGTAACTTGCCAGTCACGCCTCTTTAGCTCTTTTCACATTTAACTTCTGCAGGGAGCTGACCGATATTCTTCTCTTCTGTGTTCTTTTCTTATTATCTTTTGAAAAATATATTTTAATGTTAAAAAATATGTTTTAAAAATCATACTTCTGGAAATCAGGCTGAAACATGTGGCAATTGCATAAATAAAACTACTGAGTGGTTGCATTTCCTTTGGAAATCAAGGTCCCAGAGTCTGGAGGAAGAGAGGAGAAGCACAGAATCCACGTTGCTTGAAGTCCAGTATAAAGTTTCCACAGTCAGTGATGGTTTGGGGTGCCATGTCATCTGCTGGTGTTGGTCCACTGTGTTTTCTGAGGTCCAAGGTCAACGCAGCCGTCTACCAGGAAGTTTTAGAGCACTTCATGCTTACTGCTGCTGACCAAGATGCAAATTTCATTTTCCAACAGGACTTGGCACCTGCACACAGTGCCAAAGCTACCAGTACCTGGTTTAAGGACCATGGTATCCCTGTTCTTAATTGGCCAGCAAACTCGCCTGACCTTAACCCTATAGAAAATCTATGGGGTATTGTGAAGAGGAAGATGCGATACGCCAGACCCAACAATGTAGAAGAGCTGAAGGCCACTATCAGAGCAACCTGGGCTCTCATAACACCTGAGCAGTGCCACAGACTGATCAACTCCATGCCACGCTGCATTGCTGCAGTAATTCAGGCAAAAGGAGCCCCAACTAAGTATTGAATGCTGTACATGCTCATACTTTTCATGTTCATACTTTTCAGTTGGCCAACATTTCTAAAAATCCTTTTTTTGTATTGGTCTTAAGTAATATTCTAATTTTCAGAGATACTGAATTTGGGATTTTCATTAGTTGTCAGTTTTAATCATCACAATTAAATGAAAAAAACATTTGAAATATATCAGTCTGTGTGTAATGAATGAATATAATATCCAAGTTTCACTTTTTGAATGGAATTACTGAAATAAATCAACTTTTTGATGAGATTCTACTTATATGACCAGCACCTGTGTATATATCAGAGCCCGCACGCCTCTGGAGCAACTAGGGGTTAAGTGTCTTGCTCAGGGAACCTGGGTCTCTCACGCCAAAGATATGTGTCTTAATGGAGGAGGAAAGAAAGATAGCTCGTTACAGAGAAACGCGCCAAGAAGATCTCTTTAAGTGTACAGCTTCCTGCAGCACAGTCTATTCCTTAAAATCACATACTTAATAATACCACAATAATTGCATACATTAAAAGGAAATACACATGTATATTGTATTTCATTTGATTTCTTTGTTTGATTTGTTTTAATTTGGGCATTTTAAATCTTCCATACATGACTGTGCCACACTGTGCTGGAGGGCTCTCACGTGTACTTTTAAGCCTTTTCTCTGCAGACTTTCCATAAATCTTTTGGGAAGTAATTAACTACAAATTCATCACGTCATGTCAAGTCTATGAGGGTTTATTGCCGGCTCATGGTGGACATTGTTCCATCTCTTCCTCCCTGATGTTACGTACCTCCATATTCACTGTGGATGGTGGGCACAGGGTCACTGAGGGCAGAGGATGAACACTGAGGCAGCACCATGATGGCCTTTAAACGATGGACAGCGGCGTTCCTCTCATCCAGACCACAGAACGCTTCTGTCAGGACTCGCACATCTACATAGGACATGAATTCAAGAAAGTCGATTGAAATGGAAATGTTCCTTCAAGGCTCCAAAAATGTATAATACACATAATACGCATAACACACTTGCGTAAACGTTATCCTTTGTCAAGCAACAGAGCTTTTGTCCCTTTTGGACCTTTTATCACTCACTTTTGATGTCCATTTGTGTGAGTAGTTCTTGTATCTCTTCTATGTGTAAAGGTGTGTGATCAGCACCACACACCAGCACTCGGCCGGAGCGAGCAGCGGCCACGACAGCTATGTGCGCCACAGTCACTGCTGAGAAAGACCCCACCACCAGCACGTCGGCATTTTCAAACAGCAGGGGGCGTAACACGCTCACTGCCACACACACACACTCCTGTCCTTCAAAGAGACACACATGCAAATGTGCACACACGTTATTTAAACTTTTTCATATTCTTAAAAGCTTGTTGTGTGATGCTCCGTAAGTAGAGGAACCAGGACATTGGAGCAATTTATGATGAATGGCTGGCCAGCAAAGATTAGAAGAGTATCTTTATTTGCTTTGTTGGTGTAGTTTATTGTTTGATATATATTTTCCCCACTGAAAATGATCTAATCTGAGCTTTATAAACCAGCACTTGCACTTCTGCTTAAGTATGTAAAGAATTAGTAATGTACTAGTAATTCTACATAATTTGGACAGTACTTTTCCCACCAGTCAGTCTTGTACCTGTCTTCTAAACTTATCTTGAAAAGCATGCCCCTGAGAGAGGAAAGCATGTTTCTCATTAGTGAATTTTACCTACATTTAGCTCAATTACACACTTCACTACACACACAAATTCATGTGTACCTGTATGTAAAGTGCTTGTGTAACTGAGAGGCTGCTGTGCTGGAGCAGAGCATGTTGCTGTTGGGAGAAGACGAGTGTGTCTGGACAGAGAGGGTCTCTGCAGAACGTCGACCCCCCAAGGTCCTTCATGTTCTCCACTTCACACAAGCCAGCGCTTTGTAACGCTTCACACACTTCCTCAACACTACAGAGGAGAGGGGAGAGATTAGATTAAACATCAACACTGTCCTCCCCCACATGCAGAAGAGGATACTTACAACAAATATTGGAACTCAAATGCATCAGTGATCAAACCAAGTGAGTGTTTACTCCAAGGGTGCGGCAGCATTTAGCTTTACATCAACAACCACAGGAGCACTTCTTACCCTCAAGCTGTAAGAATGCTGAACCTTTCGGATAGGCCCCAGTGAACTTCACTCATTATAAACCTCATACTGCAACCCCCCAGACACTTTGTTAAAGTTTAACACTATTGTTTATACTGACATCATGTGCTCCCATGCACAAGATAATCCATAACCCCTGCTGGTTTACACCCAGATAGACTAGATAATAGATTATATGTGTGGTGTCCGGAGTGTGCCACAAAGAAGAAGAAAAGGGAACCGCTGAATGTAGAAAAATTTTTGCTCAACATGTTGTTAAATGAAGGCACAAAAAACACAAAAAGGTTTGGACTGGCAGCTGCCCTGGAGTACAGCCTGTTTCAAGAATGGTGCTCTTCCTCAGGCAGCATCTTTTGGAGTGTGTAACCACAATAATTATAGACCTTTAGAATAAAGAATAATATTTCACAATATTTGAGCTCTGCAAAATTGAAGGCAAATAGAAAACGAGAGCAGAATAAATTTGCAAACAAATGTGAAATAAACCAATGACTGCCTGGCCTGACATGGCCCTCTTCCTGAGTGCGTACCTGGTCTTGAGAGTATTGACCCATGCGTAAAGTGGTAGACGTTTTGCTCTGTGCTGTTTCATCCTGACGGGGTCAGACAGAAAACAGGAGACGCTCTGCAGATTCTGTTTCACTCTGCAGCGAGCAAGAGATGCTGCCAGCTTGGTCTTACACCTGTTATAAACAAACACATGCAGACACGTTTGTTCCTCTGACCCCGTGTGGACATCTCATTGACATAATGCATTCCCTAGCCCCTAACCCTAACCATCACAACTACATGCCTAACCTTAACCCAATTCTAACCCTATTATTCGTAGTCTTAACCTTCAAACAGCCCTTTAAACTTCTGGGATCCAGCAATTTGGTCCTCACAAAGCTGTCTGACTCCTTAACTAGAGTGGACCCTGGTTTTGGACCCCACCCACCCCTAGCCGGATTTATCATGAACATACTTCATGTCACATTTACATGTCTTCAACCTTCTGTTTTGGTGATTTCCAGTCCAGATTTAACTTTACCTGATTTGAGAACATACAGCTTGTGAAACAATTTCAAAGTTGCATTAGAAATAAACTTTTGAATGCATGACATTGAGACTTGACAGCCGCACCCACTCGCACCTCTGCAGACTGCCCTCCAGGTCCCTGACTTCCTGCAGAGGCTCCTCCCCTTCCTTTGTTGAACGTTCGCGCAACAAAAACCTTCGGTCTTGGAAGTCAAACAGCATCACCATCGCCAAAGGCAACAAGTCGCCAGACTGCAAAACAACATCATCATCACCATCATCATTATTGTGTATATCATAGTCATAATCATTGTTTCATCAGACCTTTTTCACTGCAGACATTTTGACTTGTCTTTGACTTTGTTATCAGGTAAAGCCAAGGTGAAACAAATTTAGCAAGTGTCCCAGTAAGCAATGACTGTGGCCGAATAGTCTTTTTTGCTTAGGAAGGTTCCTAACTGACTGAAATGACCCGGAAGTGGCAACCATGATTAGAGCCGGTTGAGTTCTCTAAAAGCTAAGGAAAGGTGCTTTCTTTTCAGCTTTAGCACAGGGTACAGTAGACCATCCTTTCAGAAAGGAAAGAAGATAATGCCATCCCACAATTCCAGCAGCAACATTTAAAGCGACCCAGCATTGTAGTTTCACCACGGCAGACCCACCCAAATGTAGGAACAACAGACCACCTATTTTATGCTTGACACGTGATCCATTAAAGTATAGAATTCCTTGCATGATAAGCTCCAAAACCATAAAGGGAAATAGATCAAATCCATCCAGTTAGAGTCTTGAAAAACAAGCATACTGAATTTGTAGTTTACAATATCATCATCATAACAAAATACTATACACATAAATGTGGTGGAATGCACTAAAAAGATTTATTTTCTCTACTTAAAAATTTTAAGGTCGAAGCGCCCATACCAGGAAACTCTATATAGGCTACTTACTTCTGAATATAATTTACTCTGGCCTCTTGTTTAATTCCTTATTTTTATTTATTTATTTATTTTTGTTTTAGATTGCCTTCCCCATTATATTATTCATTTCAACATTTCAATCCTTTTTGTTTTGTTTTTATTTTTAACGACCATCTATTTCTTTGTTACTTCCTAGAGTAATTGATGGTTAAATGTACCCTATGTATAGGGTACACTGAAAACATCCTTCCTTAAGATTCTGTGCTGGACAGGAAACCTTACTTTTTTGTCCCTGTACTTATCTTCCATGTGTTGTAGACAATGGTTTTTAAAGCCTGGAGTAGGCCCCAAGTGCAGTCGGATTCTCTCAGCACTGCGGTTGTCTTGAGTTTTCCATCGAGGTCAAGGAAGAGCAATATTTTTTTGAATTTTCGACTGCAGCCAATGTCTGCCGTGAAAAATGTCGATTATAATCGACTTCAGTGATACTGTCACCGCCCATTTCATCTAAAACCTGCATTAATATCTTCAGCCACTTGGAGGCAGCAGAAACACACTGTGAACCCGGACAATTCATCACCTTTCTAAGTTGATATGGCGAATGTGTCAGCAAACAGTTGCTTATTTATGTCCAGGAGATATGGAACAGCATTCATTAGGAGGTGTGTTTCCATCCACTTGATGAATGTAAGTCCAATTTTCACTCTCTTCTAGCTCAGTTTTTGGTCTCTACCAACTCCCGAGGGAAATATCCGGCTCTGTAACGGCTAAATTCTCTACTGTAAGTTCACCAGCTCGTCGCTAACTGTGTCTGTGTGCTGTGCTGAGCAGGTAGTGTGGCACAGTGTGCTTTTAGATGGCTGCTGCATCTATGGGTTTGTCACTTCAAGCTTTTACATTACATATGAGTCACGCCATCCAAAGTATTGATTATAACATAACTGCCTTTTGGAAAACTAATGATAAGCAGATTGTTTTCTCACACTTCCCTTTCTATGTTTTATAGCCACGTACACACTATCCTTTGTGTGCGCAGGAGGTTGAATATGCAGTAAAGAGGTGTGTGGAATTACAAAGAGCTGTGTGGCAGCTTTTATAGTCCTACTTGCAACCTAATGACTTGTCAGACTATTCTCTGTTTCACCCATCCCTCCTTAAAGTCATCCTTTACACACATACACACACACACGCACACGCGCACGCACGCACGCACGCACGCACACACATTCACATGCATAGGCGTGTTTCTTTGTCCATGTATGTGCCATTTCACAGTGTTTTATAGTGCCATTTACAGTCTCCCAGTTGGAGAGTGTGCCTGCCTCTCTCCTATGTGCATCATTTGCCACCTATAACCAGCCAGTCTAGGTACACATCTGAATACAAATGGGCTTTAACTGCATCCCCCTCCCCATCACCACGATTATACCATACTCTGATGGAGTACGTTCATATGGACAGAGGGGAGGCAAGATTCTTTTTTTGAAGACAGAAAACTCCTAGACAGTTTAACCATTGGTGAGTTGAGTGCTGAAGTGTTTTTAATCAGTTTTGAGTTTGTGAACGCTCATGTCAAACCTGGTGGGACTCACAATATGCTGAGAAGTGTGGAAGCAGCTGTCCGTAATGATGTCCTCCAGTAAATCTCGGTCTAGGATAAAAACAATGTCAGTATCAAAACATCAGCTGGATTTCATACAAGACACTCTAAAGCTAATGAAGAGAAAATGTAAAGCCTCGGTTAAACCAAATTAGACATCTCTGAGATTTCTGCATCCACACCAGTAGAATCAAAGTAAAATGCAATTTTATTCGTGGTTCTTGTTTCTTAAAAGTTTGGATGGCATAATTTATTCTTTTTTTAACGTGTTTTTCTTACTCCAGATAATCCATAGACCTTCACCCGTATTCATAGGCACTATTTCTAAGTAGAAATTAGATCCAGTGAAAACCTGTTTACAGCAAAGTCTGACGATTGTTTGGGGAAACAAGGACACACTGTTTCTGTCAAGAGATGCTGCTGCTGAATCTTTTAAAACAGCATTTTTTGACTTTTTATGGGCACTTTGGGGCAGTAGAACACACAACACTGACATAACGTTATCTCATAAAGTTGTTATGGCGAATATGCATGCAAGCAGTTGCTTATTTTCACAACTACCAGACACGTAGCAACATTATCACTCATTTGGAGTCATGTTTCTGATCATCTGACTTATTTAGGGCCAATATTCGCTCTGTTTTACCTCTGTTTTTGGTCTCCACCAGTTTTGCTTCCGCTGCTAATTGCTCCACTGTGTTTACTTTACTTTACTTTGTCTGTAAACCATTTGCTGGTTGTGTACAGTGTATTTATCAGAGCTTTTTTTTTTGCTGAAAACAGCTGCCTGCTGCTGCTGGAAATAAGGTTGGTGAGAGCGGTGAACCAATACAGTAAATTTGCAGGTCATAAAACCAATACATTGAGATGAAAGATGTCAAAATGCTCCATAAAGCTGGGGGTAACAGCAGAGTAAAATAATCATTCTCTGTGGGCTCATCACTAATATATATCAGTACAGCCTTAAATATGATTTTTTCCCACTGCTTTCAGCAAACACAGACCTACAAGTCCATTCAAGTACATCGTACTGAGGAAGAGGCAGACATCTCAGAGAGCAATGTCTCCACACCTGGACAAAGAAAAGCGAAACTATTTTCATAGCTAGATACTAGCCACCCCCCACATGTGCGGTGAAATACTGAATGTAAAACAGTGTGTGCTCACTGTATGAGTGTGTACGTGTGTGTGTGTGTGTGTGTGTGTCCATGGCATGCACTCCCTTATCACCTCCCATACAGACATCTGCTGTAACTTCGGCTCAAGTAATTTGCAGTCACATGGAGAAATGAAATGTATGACTATATATTATTTAATCTACAGGCTACAGTTGAAGCTGCTATTCAAAAGTGAATATTGGAGTTGAAACACGCTGCAGCTTCACTGCTATTCATTACAGAGATAAGGCCTCCTTATAAGAGGAAGGTGAGGTGCAGACGTTGCAGTAGATCAAATTAATTTCTCCCTGACTTTATGTTTAACCATCAGTCCGTCCTCACCAGGCAGGGTTTGTGGTTCCACTTAAATCTCGGCTTGTTTAAAGGTACGCTAAGAGTTTCCACAACTGCGGAAAACCATATGAGAAACTTCAGTAATCCATACATTTGAGTGTGTTGAAGGCGAGCTGGTAGGCCTGTCTCTCTGTGGTTTTGTCTCCGCTCTTTGGTAGTGGTGCGTCTGTCTTCTTCCCATAATGCAGACGTTGTTGCGTGACTGTCTTCTCTGTTTGCAGCTGCTGGAAAATGGCTGCTGCTTGCAAGTAGGTCTGATCTGATGGAGGGGAGTCTGCCGGAAGAGGGATTGATGGAAAATTATTGAAGTTTATGGGAATGTTAAAGCAGATTGTTTTTTGACAATTGGAGAGAGGCGAACGAAAACAGTAAAAGGTTTAGAGATTGGTCATTTGTGTTTTTCACAGCTTACATTTTATCCTGAACTCAGTTTCACATTTTGAATGGGTGTTTTTTTTGTTTTGGCTTCAACTGGTGCGTACAGCTCAGCTATAGGTGGCCCCAACCTGACGCCACATAAGTATATTTGAGAGCCTTGTCTTTTCACAATAAAAGCCTTCACATTGTCCAGGAATAAAGAGCTGCTTTTACCATCACTCAGCATGTTTGATCAGTGTACAGCCACACTTCTCTTAATAGTTGCTTGATGTAGTTTGAATATTAAGAACACTGTACCAGAAAAGAGGGTTGAATACTTATGAATGTGATTAAATATCCTCAGTAGGAGATAAAATATTGATTGAGAGTTGCATTTCATCTTGTGAAGGTAATGATAAATGAAGAGGAGGAAGAGGAGCTAGGAATGAGGCGGGCTCCATGTTGGTCTATTGGCTGTGCTCTTGATGTGAACTGAGGATTTCCTCCGTCACAGAGCTCGTATTCACATCCTCGCTGGAGCCCACTGTAAGAGAGGGGAAAAGTGTGTGTAGCTCCGATTACACACACACACACACACACACACACAAATAAAACAAACACAACAGCAGCATAGAGACCTTGCCTTTGTCTGCCATGATCACAGCAACAAAATCAAACACTTGTCCAACCCTTCTGTGAACAATTTTCAGCATATCGCTCACATTTATGTCTCTTTCTCTTTCACACTCCTGCCTGTTCACCCAACTAGCATCTAAACAGACACAAACATTGTTTGTTTATAGAGTTGAACCTGAGCTGTGCAAATGTAAATAAGACGTGTAGTGTTAGTCATGGCTGACATGTGATCCATCTTCCAGTTTCTGTAAATGTGAGTAGGACGCGGTGGGTAATTGGGCTCCTCCTGGTGCAATTAGGCGGCAGGTCAGATACATCAGCATGAATAAATAATGGGCTGCTGTCCGACCCTGGACAAAGGTCCACCTCTCACTGACCTGCTTAAGTCATCTCTATGCAACTGCTTCACACACACACACACACACACACACACACACACACACACACACACACACACACACACACACACACACACACACACACACACACACACACACACACACACACACACACACACACACACATCCGAACACACACGTGTTCGGATGACATCTCTTGACTTGACAAGGAGAATTGGCACATAAGGATTAACACCCAAAGGTGCAGGGACCACTAGCCTCTAATTAAACTGGATTAATAGAGAGAAACACAGACAGTGTAATCGGCTTTTACAGCGCTCATCAATGTTTAAGCACAAAGTCTGACTGGACCAGAAATGCGCAACGTGTCCAATAAGGCCATCAGGGCAAATGGAATAAATTAATGAATATCAAACAGCAGTGATTTAATGAGTGTGAAGCAGTTTCCTGTCCTCCGCAGGAGAAAGTCCACTTTAGAAGAGGTGGACAGGACAAAAAGGCTACAGCAGCTTAGTGTAATCTGCATAGACGATGATGGGCTGTTTAAAATTGCATAGCAGATCTTACCTTTGTCATTCAGAATCCTCCTCGCGGGAGCAACGCAGCTCATCGTCTCAGAGAAATGCAGCCTGAGCGACTATTAACTATCAACCACAAATGGGTATTTTCTGCTCTAAAGGTCGTCTCCTGCTCTGCCTTGGGTGCCATATATAGTGTCCCAGTGAGCTGGTGCATACTCACTACCTCTTTGTCACGCCTGGTTCTGTTCTGGAGCTTGCCGCCTCCTATCCTGAGTTTGAAACACCATGGCAACAATATGATAATGAAGAAGGCCTTTCCCCTCTGTGACAGTAAAATACATAATATACTCTGTATAAGACAACTTTTAACATTTAGACATCACCATCATGTATCATCAGTGCAAGACCTCCTGTAAAGACTTGCTCTTTCATGTTTGGATCCATTTATGAGGAAAAACACAAAAGGATCAAACTTAGCACCTGCTCTGAGAGGCAGTTAAAGAAAAGCTACGCGTGTATGTGAGTATATGTGTATGTTGGAGTAATGTGTTGTCATATACGTCAAATAGCATGTGATGCCAGTACACAGTACCATGTCTGACCAGTTGGACTTGTTGTAAACTTTATTCACACTGCGCCTTCTTGTCATGAATGACAACTGGGAGGCATCAGGCCGGCGCATCAGACTGAGACTGCCCCCTGCTGGACACTGCAGCGCTTCACACAGCAAGAATGTACCTAAGTACATTTACTCCAGTAACAAAGTATGAATTCGAGGTACTTGTACTTTACTTGAGTATTACCATTCTATGCAACTTTATACTTCTACTCCACTACATTTCCCTGACAGCTTTAGTTACTAGTTACTTTTCAGATTCCAATTTTGCATACCCTTTACATCTCTTTGAACGCAAACTCTAAAAGAAAGTTTAAAAACGGGTTGTGCATCCTTAGTTTAAACAAAACGACTCTCTCTGCAACAAAAAAGGCCAAATAAGTTGTTATTTGTGACCTCTTGCGCTATATAGTTTCCCCTCTGAATAAAGGTTTTTCCCATTTAGCCATGAAAAAAACCTTAATCAACCTAATGCTAAATCTAAACACTTTCTACAAAACACTTGGACATGCAGTATGTTACATGTATCTTTATCCATTCTGCACTATGACTGTTTGGCTGTCAGCACTGTGTGTCAGTCAATGCGTTGGCAGTTTATGCATCATGAAAACACACTTTTTGACACGTTGTGACATGGTTAGCTCAACTAACTGTATTTTATTTTCCAACATTGAAAGGTAATTACCATTGAATGTATTTGTTGTTAAGAAATCAAGCTGATTTCTAGCTTTTAGAAACAGTTGCTAATACTCTGTATAAATAATGACTGTCTTGAGAATTCACTGGGGATCTTCCTTTAAATATACAGTATACTGTAAATCAAAATGATGTAATGTCTGCATCAGACCAGCAGAGGGAGACATTTTATTGGGTTATGCCGGAGATGCAGTGCAGCCTTATTCCTGTAGTTTGTGTGACCCATTTCAAAGCCACTTTCTGGTTTGTGTTTTTGATCTGAGTGCTTGACCATTAAGAATATATCAACCTGACTTTTCATATCAGTCTCTCCACTGCATGAACAGGGTGCAGACTAACCTCTGCACCCACACAAGCAGAGCTGAACCCAGAAGCAATGGACCATGAAGGATAACACAAAGGTTTTTGGGTATTTTTTGTAGCTTACTTGGTACACTTCAGAACTTGCCAGAAAAAAGGCAGGGGGAGGGGGGAGTTTATCAGTGTGTGTGGAAAAACCTCAGTGAGCTTTCTGGGGCCAAATGAGCCTCACTTCTCCACGGGTGAGAGTACAGCTGGAGAGATTATCCCATCCAACACGCGTCATCAATGTCGCCTCACAACAGGGCTCCACTTGCTGTGTGTGTGTGTGTGTGTGTGTAATGGCGTATTCAATAATCGGCCCAGTTGGAGACGGCGGGTCGTGCGGCCATAAGCCGACCTGGAATTTTCTCAATAAAGGTCTAATCTTTACGGGAAGCTGTGCAGTGCTGGAAGGAGTTTCTCTTCTCTCTTTAATCAATTTACCTTCACAAACTAACACCACTCAGTCACATTCAGTATTTACATTTTTTTTTTTTTTTTTACGTACGTGTGTGTGTGTTGTCTACTTGAGTGACCTTGAGTTGATCTACTGCAAAAAAATGGCCAGGTATCCTGCACTATGTGAGCAAAAGTATATGGACACCCAAACATTACTGAACAGCTCATTGCAAATCCATCTGCATTAATAAGCTGCCAAACAGCTTAAGCTATACAGCTCTGGGTCTTCTGTCTTCTCTGAGATTTGCTCCCTTTTGGCCACCATTACTGAGGTTGGGCAATAACGTCCGGCTCACAGTTGGTGTTCCAGTTCATCTGAAAGGTGTAAGATGTTGTTGTTGGGGTCAAGGCTCTGTGCAGGACAGTCAAGTTCTTTTCTTTATGGGCCCAAATATCGAAATGTCCAGTTTTAAAGGACTGGGGAGAATGTGGTGGTAGAGATAGCATCCTGTGAGTTAATGCTCAGGGGAATAAAACGAGGTTTGGAAGATGGGACTTCCTCCTGGGACCATCTAAAAAGAAAATACCTGTGAATAGTGTCTGTTTATATTTCAAGCTAAGAACGTCATCTGAATGTGACAGGTTACTTTTTTATTTTAGTGTGGACTGGGTCTCTCTCTCTTTTATATTTTTATTCACTGAACTTCTTGAAATTCTTTATTTTCTACCCCATGCCATTTATTGTTATAGTTTGCACTTGTTGTCATGTACCAAACCCTTTCTTTAAAATCAATAAAAACTCAACTGTCTACAACATTGTTAACAAAAAAGGCAAAAAACAACTAAGCCTACAGGCCAAACCTTGGAAAATAGCCTGTACATGGACAGGGGTGTCCTCATACTTTTAGCCACACAGTGTCTTTGATGTCGTTGTGTGTGTGAGAGAGAGACTTAGTGGAGTGGAGCTCATCAGGTTAGGTTTGATATCTCTCACTCATCAAGACCCAATTAGAATCTATTAGACCCACATCTCTGTCTCTCTCTTACACACACGCATGCACAGACGCACACACACACACACACACATTTCATATATGCATATTGACATAATGCATTCCCTAGCTCTTTACCCTAACCTTAACCCAACTGTAACCTGAACACTAAAACCATGGACATACGGGACAAAAACATGAAACACACTCTCCTACATAAGGCTAGGCTTTAACTATTGTAGCAAAGTGGAGAATGCTGCTTTTGTGTACAAGTGCAAGGTCAGAACTTGACAAGGACGACGTTGTCGCTACATCACAGCCAAGTGTATAAATGATCTTGAGAGACAGGGAGAGAGAGAGAGAGAGAGAGAAAAGTAAATGACACAGTCTAGCGGATTAAAAACAACAAGACCCACAGCAAGGCCACAAACATCGATTACAAGCCCGCACAAGCACACACTTGATACAATCTGACATCATAAATCCAGTTTGCCAGCAGATACAAAAGTAACATGACCCAAGTTTGCCTCCTTTCTCAGCTTTTCCTCGCAGCGTGTGATGGCTCGATTGGGCCCACTTGTTCCAGGTGAATAGAAACACGGCCCTGTCTCTTTGTGTGTCTTTGTGTCAGCCCTTCGGAGCAGCAGTGGAGTGTTTTCCTGGGAATCTCTGCTGTCTGTGTCTCAGGTCTCTCTGTCCATTGTGTAGCAACCAGGGCAGGGTCTGAGCTGCTTATTGTGGGAAGACTTTGCTTTTGTTTACACGCTATGAAAAGACTGCATATGCACGTCTGCAGGTCTCTGTGTTTATATGTAAATTAAACGTGCATGAAGCTATCATTAGTGCATAGTTGCAGTTTATTACAATTGGGCCCTTTTTTAATTAGTTACATAAATTATGGACTAAATTAAACTATCAAAGGAATAGTTTAATATTTTGGGAAATACATTATTTGCTTTTTTGCTGAAGAGATATCACCCAACATCTGGAGTCTTGTTGTGAACCGATGTTACTGCACCAGACCATGAACTAGTTTGGCACATCCTTCAGTTTTTTAAACAAACAAGCTGCAAAGTGTTAATTAGTTAGCTTTAGAGGTGCTGGTAGACAAGTATGTTCACCTTTAAACGGAGCTAGCTCTTGTCCAACTATTCCTTTAATGGCTTTATACCCACCAAAGTAATTGCCAGAGATCTTGGCCAATCGCAACATCACTAAAAAGGAGTCTGGCAGGGCAACAAACAATGAAAAATGTATTACCCACACTGTCCGTCGGAAACATGCATCACAGGTTACAGATGGACTTTGCGGTTAAACTTTGACCTACCGTAATTGCAGCAGTTTTCCTCTGCAGTCAACATCAAACAAATAAAGCGGTTTAGATAAGGTGCCATGTTTCCAGATGTATGCAGTGACTTTGGTGAGTACAATCATAATCAAAAGAAGTTGATTGGTCTTAACTACAAAAGTAGGTTTTGAGGTGTAATAAACCAGAATTATCCGTTAGCTTGGTTTTGTTTCTGATGAACACATAGGATGTTCCCATTTATTTATTGTTGTATGTAAGCTAATTTAATTACTTTTGATGATGTGTGTACTCATAAATGAACAAATGAAAAATTTGTTGCTTTTTGGCGACCTCATACTGAGCCAGGACGTGTGTATAGAAACTCTAGTCAATAAAACAATCATAGATGTTTTAACAATCCTGTCCCTTCCCAGAAAATACAATTACCTTTATCTCTACAACTGATATCCCCTTGGTTTGTGAATGATCCCTCCCTTCATTAATCATCATGACACAACCAGTTGTTTCAACAGGAAACAGTACAAAAAAAGCGTGACTTCATTACTGACTGCACACAAACACTATGTAGATGAAATGTAGTCTTGCTCCAACTTTTATGTGTCTATTATGTTAAAAACTACATGCAAGCTGTAGTATTTTTAACACACGTCCAATGAAGTATGACATACAAAAACATCCTGTTGGTGGTTTGTTTAAAGGTTTTCAGTACAAACAAGCGCTGATATGTGACTTAGC